AAAGCAAGAGCTCAGTATAAATACACAGAAGCCAATAAGGAAGTTAGGAGGCGTATAAGGGCAAATAAAGTGAAATATAAACGATCAAGCACAAGAAGCGGAGAAAGCAGTAGCAAAAGGAAACCTCAGAGACTTTAACAGTAACCCTAAAGATCAAATGAACAGATAGGCTGAGTATTTTTAAATACTTTTAGATAGACCAGGGACAGAGATTCCTCTAGATATCCTGCCTTAAGAAATGGATCTGGATATTAACTGTGAAATACCATCCAAAGAGAAAATTAGAAAAGCTATCAATCTTCTCAAGGAAGTAAAGGCGACAGGTCCAGATGGTATCCCAGCAGAAACTATTAGGGTCAACATAAACACATCAACGGAATTGCTACATAGATTATTTGGTAAAGTCTGGGAGATCGAAGAAATACCAGCAGACTGGAGAGAAGGATGTCTTGTGAAACTGCCCAAAAAAGGGGATCTACAGGAGTGTGAAAAACTATAGAGGAATTATGTTGCTGTCAGTTACTGGAAAAATATTAAATAGAATCATTTTGGAAAGATTAAAAGCTGCTATTGATAAAAAGCTGAGAGATAAACAGGCAGGTTTTCGGCCAAACAGATCCTGTACTGACCAGATAGCCACAGTGCGTATAAATAACAAAGCAAAGCATTGAATTAAACTCAACACTTTACATTGAATTCATAGACTATGAAAAAGAATTTGTCAGCATTGATAGGGAATATATCTGAAAATTGATGGGGCACTATGGAATCACACAGAAAATTATTAACTTAGTAAAGGCAACATATAAAGACATGAAATGTTGAGTTCTTCACGAGGGAAAGGTAACAAATACATTTGTAGTAAAAACAGGTGTGCAACAGGGATGTCTTTTGCCGCCTCTCTTATTTTTACTGGCAATAGACTGGATAAGGAAGACAGTAACTGCTAACACCAAGATTCAGTGGACCCTACATTTAAGGTTTGAACACCGGATCAACAACACGGCACACGGGTAGTAACCCATAAGTGCTCCGTTTTTTTTCTAACTCAAGTCTGAGTCTGAAGAAGCTCAGCACAGTGCACAGGCTCTGTAGCACCGGCGAGGATCCTGAAATACTTTGGGTAGGTTTTTAACTCCACATTTTTGCCCGGGCAAGGCCGCTAGGCTACGCTATTCAATTTCCAACCGCCAATGGATTATTACGTGCGCAACAATGCACATGGTTTTTTCTCCATATATATATAAAGCAAAGTGAAAACGTTTTTGTAAAAAAAAAAAAAAATCTTACAAGGACATGATTATTACCAGGCTGCATGAGAAATTTCCACAGCTTACACCAAACGGTTACTGAATTCATACATATTTTTGAAGTTGGGCACGATTCTGTAAGGGACTATTCAAGTTGTGGCGCGGCACTCCAGACTGGAGACCAGTACTCTAGACTGTAAAAAACAACTCCGGGTCCTAATCACGATAAGCAGGCCTTTTACGCATTTGCTGACGTTTAATTACTCATCTGGGTCAGATGGGATAGGGTTAGGTTTTAAGATTATTGGACTTGTCGTTTAGTTCCATGATACTACCCCCAGAGAAACTAGGCTACGTTCCATTAACAACTTTTTTTGGACTGGTCTGATGTCCGGGGAGTTACGGGTTGGCCGATATGTTATTTTGCTTTCTGGCTTGTCTTGCATTCATGTTTTTCTTCCGAGAAAGAGAATGCCTGTGACATAGGTTGCAGCACTCTCTTGAGGGGTTGTGTGTTAGACCCAGTTTCTTAATGTTTTCAAAGTGTTAAAATGCGCTGGCGTGCTTAAATTTACAACACGCATATCAACAGCATTGCTGACCACCCCCTAACAGTGTGCGAAGGTCGGGTGACAGGGTCGACCAATCAGAAGTGAATTAGTATATGGGTGGGCTCTGGAAAGGGGGGGGGGGGGTTATAGTGGAACTAACCGACGCGTCTTTCACAAGATAAGAAAATGACGCCCCTCTGACCCAGAAGAGTCTAAGAAGGGATGAATGAAAAGTTGACGGTCCGCTTATCGTGAAATGGATCCTACTCCGCCTTTTATCCACCGAAAATGCGATTACTGCGAAATCATCGCGGATGATTTCGCGGTGTCCAGTTTCGTTGCATAGTTGGTTTTCACCTACAAGACATATTACATCATTTTGTTTTTTTAAATTTGGTCACAATGTGGGTACTCCCCAATTCACGTTGTTGAAAATAAAAATTAAAAAAACCAATATTAACTATTTAATCAGGCCTCTCCCTGGTTCATTGAAATTACAACTGTTGAAAAGTATAAGCCGTTTGCCCTGAGCTCGTTTACCGGTACGGCACAGCGGGATAGCACCGCCACCCCATACCTGCCTCATTTATAATTTTGGCGAACACTTTATAAATACGTTCAACTTCCAGGTAAGAAATGTTTCTCCTCATATTCCGTCATGGTAATTGTTTTCTCTGTGTAGTCGGTTAAATTACCAACTATGAATGAGAACACGTACATTATTCTGTCTTTATCAAATTATTTGTTTCAACCGCATGCATTGGAAACCGTGCAACGTTGATTTTATTGCAGGACTCGTAATTGTCTACCCTTACTGTGAACCGGCACAATGCACAATGCTGACTATCTCCGGGGATTGGAGATTTTATTATCGACTACAGTGAACGTTAACTCCACGAGGTAAGTCATAGATTTCTTCTATGGATTTTCTTTTTACAGTATTCTCTTAGGCTTAAAGATTGCAAACACTTTTTGTAAATCCTTGATACCATTGATTTCGAGTATAGCATTTAGAGCCGAGGGTTACTGCAGTGGCAAACTGCAAGTACAATTGCCTAGTGAAACCACAAACCAAGGCTATTCTATCAGTATCAAACATGGACATTGTTTTCAGAAGACAAGAAAAGTAGTCAACACAGAAGTAAAATGTTTTACGTATCATGCTAGACCAGTGGCTCCCAACCTTCTTAATGCTGCAACCCTTTGATACAGTTCCTTAAGTTGTGGTGACCCTTTAATACAGTTCCTCATGTTGTGGTGACCCTTTAATACAGTTTCTCATGTTGTAGCGACCCTTTGAAACAGTTCCTCATGTTGTGGCGACACTTTAATGCAGTTTCTCATGTTGTGGCGACATTTTAATACATTTCCTCGTGTTGTGGTGACCCTTTAATACAGTTCCTCATGTTGTGGTGACCCTTTAATACAGTTCCTCATGTTGTGGCGACCCTTTAATACAGTTCCTCATGTTATGGTGACCCTTTGATACAGTTCCTCATTTTATGGCGACCCTTTGATACAGTTCCTCATATTATGGCGACCCTTTGATACAGTTCTTCATGTTATGGCGACACTTTAATGCAGTTCCTCATGTTGTTGGGACACTTTAATGCAGTTCCTCTATGATCTGGCAACTTTTCGTTGCCATTCCATAAGCAGACAAAAAAGCCGCCATTTTGTTGAGACAGCCAGAGGTGCATTGTTACGTAATCAGCACGGAGCAAAAAGCTAACAATAAATTCTTTTTAAAACTCCGTCAATGCACCATTAAGAAGTTGAATTGATGTGACAAGTTTATGGGGATATTTTGTTTTCTCGTGCCAGATTTTCAGGTGGTATTCACGATTCAAAAATGGTGCGAAAATGATTACAATGCAATTAGAGATGGACGCCTAATTTCTGCTCGTAATGAGGAACTCATTGCAAAGGTCAGATAACGGATACAAGAATATCTTTGACTGTGAGGATGATGGCAAATAAATTTGGCGTTAACAAAGAAATCACTTGTAAAACTTTAGTGCAAGATTTGGGCAGTAAAAAGTAATTGCTTGCCGGTTTGTATCACATTCGTTGTCTGATGACCAAAAAACATCAGCGTGTTGAGTACGCAAAAGACATCTTCGAAACATGTCATAGATATGAATATTTCTTAGATTAGATTGTTGCAGAGGATAAAACATGGATTTAACGCCAAAGTGCTCAGTGGAAGTCATCATCATCATCACCTTAAGGAAATAAATCCGTTTTTAAAAGTTGAAAGTGAAGAGAATGTTGGTGTTATTCTACGACAGCAACGGCGTTATTTAGAAAGAATTGATTCCAGAGGGACAGACTGTCACAGACACAATTCATTTAAGTATTTTGAAATGCCTATTAAAAAAAGATTATCCAAGTCCAACCCAGGTATTCAACACCTGGCAGTATTTTCCCTTTTCATTACAATGCCCTGACTCACCGGGCGGCAGTTATTCAGGAATTTTTGACCGCAAAACAAGTGTGTGTTTTCAACAATCCCATCCTATTTCGCAGATTTGTCTCCCTGTGATTATTTTCTGTTCCAAAAATTAAAGATACAATTGGAATGACGCTCCTTTCCCGATATTGATGACAACCAAAGGGCCGTAACATCGAATTTAGCGGAAGAACTACAGAGGTCGTTCCAGTGTTTGTTAGATCGTGCTATTAGTTGTATCAGATACTCATGCATACATACGTACACACATGTAGACAGACAGACAGATGGATGGATGGATGGATGGCTGGATGGATGGACGGACGGATAGATGGATGGATGGATGGATAAGCACAAAATTACAAAATTTGTGTGATTACCTAATTGTCGGATCTTGTATTGACTTACGCACATTTAATAATGTGCTATTTATACTGACCATCCCCTTGTGAGATATAATTTTTCGTTTTTTTTTAAAAGCCCCACCCTCGTTCTTGCCAGAGACCACAATAAAGCCCGGCCATAAATGTGGCCTAATGGTTGAACGCGGTTTCCGGGACCTCTCCACCGGTGATCCTCATCCACGTGGTGGCACTTTGTATCATCGGGTGCTTATCGCTTGTGTGATGTCCTAGTAGAGTAAAATGTACCACTACTACGCTCTATTTATCCATTTGTTAATAATAATCATACATGTATCCACTTTGTTTATTAAAAATACATGTATCCACTTGTATATAACTTCAGAACATCGTGTGATGATGCAGAGATCGACTACTACCTGTTCTACCAGGTCTGCCTCATCCCTGCAGTAAGTATAACATCATCGTCATCAGAATCTCCAACGTTCGCACTTGAAACGAAGGTTGACACATAGTGTTGTATTTAATAGTCGGGCTGCGACATCTGCACTTTTTTGCCCAACACAACACATACACAGTCTGTCCGTGAATGGGACATAGATAGATGTTTGGTATTAAAGCTACAACAAGGCTGAACTTCAGGATGGGTCGCCGTAATCGTCATCGGGGGCCCTGATATACTCTTAATGTTGAACGGGGTTTCTGGAACTTGCGACTGGGTTGGGGAAGGGGGGGGGGAGGAGGAAATTTCGAATAAAAATAATGGCACTTTGTATCACTGGGTGTCATTCGCTCGGTATGCCAGCCTAAAGGGTTAAACGTCACTCACAACCCAGCACAAGCCAGCAAACCCTTACTCAGTCGCCTTTTGCTATAAGGATGGTCTTGAAATGAACAATGAACAATGAACAATCATTTTCGTATATTGATCATGAAATCTCACCGATGGTGCATGTATATTGATTACTGCAAATATATGTCGTTGGACTTTTGAAAACTGCGGGTGTTTAGCCATTACTCTGAGCATATATTGTACACAGCATCGTCAATAATGGTGAATAAATGAATGCATTTGAACCGCTATTGTTACAGATTGGAGGCTGAAGAAAAAAAAAAAAAAAAAAGCTGAAACCGCTAAATAGAATCGAATTGTCCGACTAATAGCTGGTTAAATAGCAAACGTCCTGTTCCGAAAGATTCCGGCGACGAAAAAAAAAAATCAAAATAAATATTTGGCGGACAAAATAAACAACAGCTAAAGGTCTGTTAATATAGCAGTGTTTGGTGACTTGTCGCTCTGTAGGCTCAGTCTATTAGGTATTACTCCGATGTACCTCAGGATCGTTTTGTTCTGAGTTTACTAAACCGTTATTGATGATGCGGACTGGTGTAAGCAGACAAAATCTACTGCTGTTGGACAAATGGGTTAGTGAAACAACGTGCAGAAAGAATTTAGCGTTACTTAACTAGATGCATCGAGTAATATAACAACGTAGAAATGAGAAAATACATCATAGACGAAGGAATAATTGGAAAGTTAAGGCAAAGTGTTTGAACCTGTTGCATCAATGTGACAAGCTCGCATAGCTATGGGAGATTATTTAGCAAGGTTTCTTAAAAAATAGTTCTTCTTCTTCATATTATTATTACACATGCATATCCTACATCTAAACAGAGTTTAGTTTAGTCAAGAATCGATATCATAGCCCTCGGGGCATTCCCTTGCATGCTCTGTCTTCACCTTCAGCAGCAAGCTAAAGTTTCAATACTGAGGTTGCCGGTCGTAATCCTATTATATGTCCTTCTTGCTTTTTTCACCATCACATTCGCGCGAAGACAGCCCAATCGTGCGCAACTCTCGTTTTCCGCTCGATCGCTAACTCTCCACTCGTCGGCCGATTCTCGATAGCTAGATACTTGACACTGATTCGCTAGATATTCGCTGTCAGTCTTGACTAGTTATCTTGGTCGGCGCCACGTTTGGGTTTTAGCAGCCCGCTTACATACCTGCACCTGAAGCGTTAAATATTGAATACTGTTTGGAAAGCACACTTGGAGTCCTTTTCAGGATTCCCAAAAAGTCTTGCCGACCTCTTAGATATCAAGCTTTCGCTAAGCACCTTGTAGGCACCGCTATTGACAAGATGGGAAAATCAAAGAAACAAGCCAAAACCGATTCACCCAAGAAGTCACAGGTTACCGCAGCAGAAGCCTTCACTACTGAAAACAGCGAGATCGAGGTAGCACCGGAGCCCACCAGAGACCAGGCAGCCGAAAGTCCACATGGAGTCCAGCATCACCACCCAGTACCGCCTAGGCTCCTGAGGCCCAGCCAAAAACAAGGCCATGGAAACACAGTGACACGCTCAAGAACCAGCAGCAGCAGATGTTTGGCAGTGCAGAGATCCTACAGTGCGCTCGTTGCAATAGGGCGTAGCACACCGCCGCGACCTGTCGTAGCGGGCCCATCTGCCGTAACTGCTCAGGGGCGCACGAATTTCAGGAGTGCCCCCTGGGAAAACTAGACCAGGATTTCAAGAGCCCGAACACCGACAGACGATGCTCAAACTGCACAGGCGCTCACAGTGCGAGGTATCTGGGATGCCGTACCTCAAAGACATGAAGAGAGGAGTGTCCAGTGCCGTATCAAGGAAAGAGCAGAGGTACGAGGCGCCAGGACCCACGAGAACGTATGTAACCAACCAACTGAGAAGACAGAATTCCCTGCCATCAAAAGCCCTCAAAGACCACGACCTACTGCAAGCAATTTCGGAACTGAGATCCGAGCTGAAGAAGGAAAAAGCCGCTGCCGCCGCCGAAAAAGCTGAGACGCATGAGCTAATCTCCCTAATGTTGGGAGAAATAAATGCCCCGAAAGAGGACAGAACAGCCTACTTAGCACAACAAATCGACAACAAGAAAGATGATGCAGTAACTGAAGCAAGCATCAATGCATTAATCCCAAGTTTCGCAACGGCATAGGCAGCAGACGAACGATGCAGACAGGAGGAAAGAGATGAGAGAAGCAGAGAGATGGCCGTAATGAAAGAGGGGGGAGAGAGGAAGCCTACAGGGAAGTCACCCGACTAGTGCAGGCTAAAGCAGAAGCAGAAGCAGCTGAGATGGCAGCCAGAACAGAGCACGCCCGGTTACAGAATGAAAGAGAGAAAGCCGCAAAGAAAAAAATGTCAACAGGGCCGAGAAGAGTACAGTCACTGAAACGTTAGCGACGAGGCACCAGACACAACTGACAGATCCCACTATAAGCGAAAACCAGAGCACCGAAACCGACAGAGAAGTTTCAAGTCACACACAAATTCCCAGAGGAGGGTACTGAAATCAACGAGGCTGACGTACATGAACTTCATCGGAGAATTAATTAGCAAATGTTTCCGCACAAGCTGACTGTTTACCAAAACTGTGCCTTCACAGAAGCGCTGAAAGAGGAGGAGGCAAGGCTAACACATGAGAATACCAAGCCAGACAAGACTGGTTCCTTTAACTCTTAAAAAAAAAAAAAAAAAAAAAAAAATGCCGCAACACGACATTTTGATCAGGAAGCACAAAAGCAAATAAAATAAAATACACACACAGGCAGACAAAACCACTACCACAACTTGTAACAACAACCAATGGAAACCACCCAAGCCGCCATGACAGCTCATCTAACCAGCTCACCGGAGACCCCGCCCTTCCCGTTCAAGGCCGCCCCAGGGAGAAATGGCAGTCCTATTCAGGGCTGCCAGTTACACTTCCCCACCCCCCACTCCAAAAAAAAAAAAAAAACCTGGAAGACGCCCGCCAAGCCTAATCGAGCAGACAAGACGCAGCAGCAAATAATCTAACTTAGGCGAAAATGATCGCCACACAGAATCGTATTCAATCAGATAGCAAAGAAACCGTCCTCGATAAAGCAGACCTTCGGGCAGCTGAAAGAGGACACACTTTGAAATTTTTGTTTGGTTTTATCAATTACGATTACGATTTGGAGTTCAATACCGAACATGGCAGATAGCCAGTTTCATGATGGCACAGGACCGTCTTTTTGGTGTCCAGTACTGCTGACTGGGTAACCAAAGTAACCAAAGCTGTTACACTTTCAATAGCCGTGTCTGCATTGCCTGGTTTCATTGCCATTCTTGCAGTTTGAATAGACCATGGCTTCAGAAAAGGCAACTTTATGTCGTTTTTTACCCAGTACTGTCCCATTTATTGTTCCGTGCACTGAAATCCTCACAAATAAGCAGCCTGTTGCCAGGGATCCCCTCCAGGTCTTTCAGCCAGACCCACTGCTTTGTAACTAATGAGCTCACGGCAGCATTTACATTTATTATGTTCCAACTGAGACCGCCAGGTGCCATGAGGAATTGTGGCATTGGCCATGTGGCATTGGCCATGTGGCATTGGTAGTCTTGCCCTATCGACGACCATCTGTCTCGTATACTTGCCATCAGTTATGAAACGTATGATCCTCAATGCCATAATTTCAGGTTGTTCCACATCTTCACACTCGGTCTCCCTCTACCTCTTTCTTTTCCTGCCCCAGCCACCAACTTTTCTGCGGTCACGATGTACACCAGTTTTTCTCATTCTCATAAACAATGGAGACTGCCACGCAGCTGCGCAATTTTAATCTGACCTCACTATTCAAAAGCGATGTTCTCTAAACATGGATTTGACACTTTCATGACTTGACGTAGTGCCAACGATTATTAGATAACAATAATAATATCACAAACTATTTTATCAGGTTGTACTCACACTCTTGATGGCAGCTACAAAACCTCGCAGACAGAAGCTGTTACAATTTCTCTATGGCCGTCCTGGTCTTGTCTTGTAAGTGTTGCATTCATTATTAAGTATATTCTCAGTACTTAAAGTTACTTCTGCACTTTACCCGTGTAGGGGAAAACGAATAGTCCCATTGCCGCCCCTTCATTCTTTCCCCCTACCCAATAAGCATGACGTTTAAGGCAAATGATTAAAGGTGTTTACTACATGAGAGACGAGGAACCAACAATCTGCATAAACAAATTCGCTCGCAAAACTCAAATTCTGCAACAAGACCAAAGCCCAAAAGTAGACGGAAAACTAGAACTTTCCGCCTGAGTTTAGTCGGTGAAAAAAAAAAAATATATGGGAAGGAAAGGGTACAAAAATAGAAGTGGCTACCCTACCTCATATGTCGTGGTCTAGAATGTCTGATGGCCAATATCTGCTACGAGACTACCTTTGCCTTTCACAAGCATCCACCATGTTCCCCACCCACCTAACGCAGCTATTCTGATATAAGATTCCTATCAAAATATATCTGTGCATATATAGCCAAACTGTCGTCGCTGAATTTTTTGAGTGAGCAATGGCAAACTAGACAACGTAAAATTGTCAAGTAAAGTGACAAACTGAAAAAAAACCAATGTGACTGGTTTTGTAACTTTCTTTAAAAACACGCAACTAACTGAGTATCCAATGTTAAAAGTTGTAATGTTAAAAAACGAAGGCTCTCTTTAGACGTCAGAATTGCATCGGGTATTAAGACCACCCCGACCGCATTTGCTTTCTCATGACTTTATCTGATATTCCTGGACCTGTAACAAAGGTCATATTTTAGGGGCACAAATTTGGCTCTGTGCGGATTTGAACTCACGATCTTTGGAGCGTCTGACCGCGACACCACAGCGGCTGCATATGTTGATGTAAAATTCACATTGCATGTGGTTATAAACATATCATCATCATCATCATCATCAGGTGCCTTACCGACTGGCTTGGGTGATCATGCCTTTCCACAATCAGCGATTCTTCTGCAGCATGTATCAGTTCGTGTGCTGACACACCTCCATGACATGCAAAAAGACTGTCAAGAATCTTCTCTCGTTGTCTTCCTCTATCCCTCACTCCACAGATCTTTCTTTCCAGTGATCACATGTCAAATTTTCCCTCTTCTCATAACATGGCCGAAAAATGATGACTGTCTCCTTCTGATGTCTGTAATAAGCTGTCTTCGGGCTCTCGCCTCTTGCAAAACTTCTTAGTTGCTTTTTTTTAGCGGTCAATTTTAAGCATTCTTCTGTAAAACCACATCTCTGAGGCCTGAAGAAATTGTTTGCCCTGCCTACCGATTGTCCAGGACTCAGCCATATGTTAAAACTGGATGTATGTAGCAGGCAAGTATTCTTTTTCTAACCCTCAATGACAAAGATATATTGCAAAAGATGTCCTATATATGCACTTTTTGCCTGTTCTTTTCTGTTTCTTATCTCAGTGATGCATCTTCCATCTGATGTTATCCAAGTGCCAAGATACTTAAAGTTATGTACTTTTCCCAAAATAACACTATTGACTCCAAAAAAACACTACTGATTTTATTAAACATTTAGGAATAATTCTTTTCTTTGACACCACCATTACTTCTGCCTTTCCATTTTTCAAACTGAGGCCTATTCTTCCACTTTGTACCAACGCAAAGTCTATTATTTCCTGCAGTTTTTTATGACTTGTTGCTATCAATACTGTGTCATCAGCATAACGCAGATTGTTCATATTATGCCAACGGACCACAATTCCGCGTAAAGATCTCATTATATATTTACTGTACAATGACAATAAATCACGTGACATAACACATCCTGGTCGTACGGCCCTCTTTATGCACTGAAATGTAACCAAAGAGTTGTTAATTCTTATAGCTGCTGTTTGCTGCCAATAAATATTATTTATTATTCGTAGATCTTTTCCATCATAAGTACAAATCAGCCTTTACTTCTATAACCCTTTCTGACAATGTCCTTAGGATGTATATGGCATTGTTTGTACCTTTTCCACATTGTTCATCGCTAATTTATGGTTTAATTGTGTTTCTTATTCTTCTCATAGTCATTCTCAACAACATCTTAGTCATGTGACTCATTAGACTTATTGTGCGATGGTCTTCACATTTTAAAGTGCCTGGTTTCTATTGCAGAGTTATGGATTTTAAAAGGTCATTTGGAATATACCCACTATTATAAATATCATTTAAAAGTTTAGTTATTATTTCAATTCCAAAATCTCCGAGTGCTGCGATTTCTTACAATCGGATGTTGTCTGGCCCAGGTGCTTTTCCTTTCTTCGTATAATGTAATGCATCCTCAAACTCTGCAGTCATTATTTGATGGACCATCATTGTTGGTCTGCAGCTCTACATCTGGTCTATCGTCATCATACCTCCCCTATTTGCTCTGTCCATCTGTTCATTATATTACTATGTCCCATTAATAAGTGCCATCTTATAAACAAATATCCCCGTCAAAAAAGGAAATCCATATTTCTAATGTGAAAAGTGACACTAGATATCTAAATTCACTTGGTTGTTTTATCACTTTGCCATTTACTTTTATTGATATGGTTTCTGGCACTTGCTGTGGACTCCATTTATGTGATTCTGCAGACTCTACCGTGTCTGCTTTTAATTTTTGAACATGGACAAACGGTAATTTAGAAATGTCATTATCATCTTCATTATTAGCGTCTTTGCATACACTGTCAAAGAACGTTATTAAAAAGTAAGGAAGATAACACACACGCCTATGTCCTACTCCTGAATGTACTTCAAAAGGTTTAGGCGTGCCTGAGTTGGTTTTTGTACACAGCTTTTACTTGATGTATACACACTGTTGCAAAGTTCGATGAGATGCGTCAATGGCAAACTAATGAACGTAAAATCGTCTACTAAAACCTATAAACAGCCAACAAAACATATGGCTTGTTTGCGTTGACTTGTAGTGGATATGCAGCTAACTTACTAATATTGTATATACATCCAAACTTGCAGCCCTATGGACACTCTGACAAGATCTTCTAGAATCTCCTATTGCTGTGCATTCGGTGCTATTGGCTTCACAGTATATGAGATCATATGGAAACAGCAGTACGCTATCGAATATTCTGGTCCAGTTGTTGTGAAAGGTAAACCCATCTGTCGTTACAATTAGTTATTCCATGTATCATTATATATACTGTAGTTGGTAGCCACATTGCCTATTTGTAAGGTTGTTCGTCCACCACACGTGATAATGACTGTTCGTCACACGTGAAAATAACCACCCAACACACGTGATAATAACCGTCCATCACACGTGATAATTACCGTCTACCACAAGTGGATAAGGACAAGTCCTTTCATCGGCTTAATAAAGAATTTAAAAACGAAGAAGAAAAGCACCGACATTCTACATGATCTGAACATTAAGGAGAATTGGTTCATAAACAGCATCCTGTCCCAAAAGCTGATGCATTTTGGCCATGTTGAGCGTGGGGGTGACCTTGGAGAGAACGGTGATGGAATGTGCAGTTTCCAGAAAGCGAGACCGATGCTGACTTTCCAATGGAGGATATTAGACATTGAAGATGTACTGGCTATGAAAGCACACAAGGCTGGGTAATTGGCTAGAGCAAGAAAGACTTTCAGGCCTGTCAGGAAGAGCGCGACCTTCTGTAAAAGACCTTCTGATTGATGATTACATTAAGAGGAACTGATGAATCAATATCCAGAAGGAGTTTAGTGAAGAACAGTTGCGCATTTCGTCGTTCTCATTCTCTTGCCTTTGTCTAATGGCAAGATTAACGATGATTACCACGTTATCTGGAGATGAGTCTAGGGCTCGATGCTTTCTTCTGCGCTATACATCTAGTTTGCGATGTCTGGGACCAATAATGAGGATTACCACAGTCATCGCGTACCCTGCGAGTAGGTGTTCATGTCTCTTCTCAGATTCTGTCCTTGGTAGTATGAATAATTGTTACTGACGCTATAGCCCAATGGTCTGTCTCTGCATCCTCTGCCGTTCCCAGTCATCATATTACCGAAGAACACTTACTACCTCTTTGCATAACTGTATAATGTTTCCTCATTCTTGCATAGCTGTAAAGCTGTATAATGTTTCCTCATTCTTGCATAGCTAAATAATGTTTCCTCATTCTTGCATAGCTGTATAATGTTTTCTCATTCTTGCATAACTGTATAATGTTTTCTCATTCTTGCATAGCTGTATAATGTTTCCTCATTCTTGCATAGCTGTATAATGTTTTCTCATTCTTGCATAACTGTATAATGTTTTCTCATTCTTGCATAGCTGTATAATGTTTCCTCATTCTTGCATAGCTGTATAATGTTTTCTCATTCTTGCATAGCTGTATACAGGTTTCTCATTCTTCCATCGCTGTATTTTGGTTTCTCATTCTTGCATAACCGTATAATGTTTCCTCATTCTTGCATAGCTGAATAATGTTTCCTCATTCTTGCGTACTGTATAATGTTTCCTCATGATTGCATAACTGTATAATATTGCCTCATTCGTGCATACTGTATAATGTGTCCTCATTCTTGCATACTGTATAATGTTTCCTCATTCTTGCATAACTGTAAAATGTTTCCTCATTCTTGCATAACTGTATATTGTTTCCCCATTCTTGCATACTGTAAAATGTTTCCTCATTCTTGCATACTGTAAAATGTTTCCTCATTCTTGCATAACTGTATAATGTTTTCTCATTCTTGCATACTGTATAATGTTTTCTCATTCTTGCATAACTGTAAAATGTTTCCTCATTCTTGCATAACTGTATATTGTTTCCCCATTCTTGCATACTGTAAAATGTTTCCTCATTCTTGCATACTGTAAAATGTTTCCTCATTCTTGCATACTGTATAATGTTTCCTCATTCTTGCATAACTGTATAATGTTTTCTCATTCTTGCATACTGTAAAATGTTTCCTCATTCTTGCATAGCTGTATAATGTTTCCTCATTCTTGCATAGCTGTATAATGTTTTCTCATTCTTGCATACTGTAAAATGTTTCCTCATTCTTGCATAGCTGTATAATGTTTCCTCATTCTTGCATAGCTGTATAATGTTTCCTCATTCTTGCATAACTGTATATTGTTTCCCCATTCTTGCATACTGTAAAATGTTTCCTCATTCTTGCATACTGTAAAATGTTTCCTCATTCTTGCATAACTGTATAATGTTTCCTCATTCTTGCATACTGTAAAATGTTTCCTCATTCTTGCATAACTGTAAAATGTTTCCTCATTCTTGCATACTGTAAAATGTTTCCTCATTCTTGCATACTGTAAAATGTTTCCTCATTCTTGCATAACTGTATAATGTTTCCTCATTCTTGCATACTGTAAAATGTTTCCTCATTCTTGCATACTGTAAAATGTTTCCTCATTCTTGCATAACTGTAAAATGTTTCCTCATTCTTGCATACTGTAAAATGTTTCCTCATTCTTGCATACTGTAAAAATGTTTCCTCATTCTTGCATAACTGTATAATGTTTCCTCATTCTTGCATACTGTAAAATGTTTCCTCATTCTTGCATACTGTAAAATGTTTCCTCATTCTTGCATAACTGTATAATGTTTCCTCATTCTTGCATACTGTAAAATGTTTCCTCATTCTTGCATAACTGTATAATGTTTCCTCATTCTTGCATAACTGTAAAATGTTTCCTCATTCTTGCATAACTGTATAATGTTTCCTCATTCTTGCATAACTGTATAATGTTTTCTCATTCTTGCATACTGTAAAATGTTTCCTCATTCTTGCATAGCTGTATAATGTTTCCTCATTCTTGCATAGCTGTATAATGTTTCCTCATTCTTGCATAACTGTATAATGTTTCCTCATTCTTGCATACTGTATAATGTTTCCTCATTCTTGCATAACTGTATAATGTTTTCTCATTCTTGCATACTGTAAAATGTTTCCTCATTCTTGCATAACTGTATAATGTTTCCTCATTCTTGCATACTGTATAATGTTTCCTCATTCTTGCATAACTGTATAATGTTTTCTCATTCTTGCATACTGTAAAATGTTTCCTCATTCTTGCATACTGTATAATGTTTCCTCATTCTTGCATAACTGTATAATGTTTTCTCATTCTTGCATACTGTAAAATGTTTCCTCATTCTTGCATAGCTGTATAATGTTTCCTCATTCTTGCATAGCTGTATAATGTTTCCTCATTCTTGCATAACTGTATAATGTTTCCTCATTCTTGCATAACTGTATAATGTTTCCTCATTCTTGCATAGCTGTATAATGTTTCCTCATTCTTGCATAACTGTATAATGTTTCCTCATTCTTGCATAACTGTATAATGTTTCCTCATTCTTGCATAACTGTATAATGTTTCCTCATTCTTGCATAACTGTATAATGTTTCCTCATTCTTGCATAACTGTATAATGTTTCCTCATTCTTGCATAACTGTATAATGTTTCCTCATTCTTGCATAACTGTATAATGTTTCCTCATTCTTGCATAACTGTATAATGTTTCCTCATTCTTGCATAGCTGTATAATGTTTTGCTTTAAAAAATATTTTATTAGCCATTTCCACTCAGTCGTTTTTAATCACTATGGCTGTTCTCGGTAAATGGTGAATACAGAAGAGAGTTTAAAACGAAAATGTCGGTGTTGTGTGTGCGAAATGGCAAATCATTCCGATATTTAAAAAAAAAAGATATAAAACCGAACAAAAGCTTCATAATAAAACAAATACAAACAAAACGTAAACGTTGCGGCTATTGAGCCTTCACTAGCACATACAAATTAAACAGTACTACACAGATACACAAAATAACTTAGCTGGTATCTCGAAGCAGCCGGGTCGGTTGTTTCCGATACAAAGAACATCCGCACAAGTGTGTTAAAATAGAGGGCGAAAATATGTGATAAAGAAAGCGAATTGTTGTAGAACGTCTGTTAACGGAAAATGAAACTGAAGAACTTGCGCTTAGACTGTGCAGTCGATTGGAGCACCGTTGGTCACTGGGTTGAGATAGTTAAAGCTTCAGAAAGGGAAGAGACGGAGCTAAGTTGAAGCAATGTCTGTGTGAACTGTAGGAAATCTTTTTAAAGAAACTGCGTGCATATTCTTCTTTCTCATTGGGATAAGGTTTTAGATGTGGTCCAAGATAATATGAGAAATTATAGCGTTTGAAGGAAGTGATGAGTTATATTGTCAGTAAATTGCACACATTTTGTATTATGAAACAGAGAAGAAAAGCAATACTAATATCCTAAAAGATCTGAACATCAATGAGATTGGCTGGAAAACATCATCTCGTTTCGAAAACTATTATAAACTATTTTGGCCATATCAAGCGCCACGATGGATTGCAAAAGAATAGTAACAGAAGGCATGGTGTCAGAAAAAAAGTACAGGGGCGGACCAAAACAAAGGTGGGCACAGGATATAAGTGGCACCTTGGGTAGGAAAGTGCAAGAGGTAGGAGATCTGACAAGAGAACCCGTTTCTTTCAGTTTCTTAAGATAAGAGAAACGTCCTGTAAAGGACTGCTACATGATGATGATGATGATGATGAATGATGATGATGAATAATGATGATGAATAATGATGATGAATGATGATGATGATGATGATGACCATAATGCCAGGAGTATTGCCTGATCTTGCATATTTTCTTTTATTTCAGTGATCGTATCGGTGTTAATCTACGGTATGGTTTACTTCCCGGTGTTCACAAGCCTAGCCTTAGGTACAGCCTTCTCTTACTTCCTAGGATCGCTTTATATTTGGATGTTCTTTGCGCTCGAAATATATCAAGCCAACACTTGTGAATACAGTGCGGTGAGTATTGCTTTCTTATCATCATCATTAACATCATCAGCATTATCATCATCATCAACATCATCAACATCATCGTCATCGTCAACGACGTGACAAGGCCAATCAGGAACTAAAACACCTATTATCACTTCTGACAAATTTTTCACCTAAAAGTCCATGTCGGGCCTCGGTAGGCTGGCTGGTCCGGGTGTCTAGTCGGAAAGAAAGACTTATCCCTTAAGTCAATTGTGTCCAAATTGTATGCCAGTGTCCCTCTGCCAGTTGCCAACAAAGTCCTACATGAGTCCAGTGAACCAACCGTAAATTTGCCACTAAGTCGTTAAGGTATGTCGACTGATCTAATAGGCTACGCAGCGACTATAAATATATGTAACTTCAAATCTCCTAGTACCCGTTGCATAGTCACCATTTCGTCTTGACCCTGTCCAAGAATATCCAGTAATAAGTGCAGCAGGAGAAGATCAAAGCCTGGGTGTCACGACTCAGGTTGGCCTACCCTCTGAAATTGTCTAATAGTATGTGGGCCTAAACAATTGTTGACGAGGGATCTTCGACTGATGATTGGTAGACTGGTGCTGTACATGCTCCCCTGTGGAGTTTTTCTTATTATCTTACGGCATCAGTAGTCATGATTAATTCTTTCGGTCTCGTTTACTTTCTGTTAGTTCTAACACAGATTTTCCCCCCTGACATAATATCAGAGTGTCCAGAATATTCCTTCTTTTTTTTCTTCAGCCTTTTTCTCCCTGGAACTTTCCCACAATTCCCTATCTCCTCAAATTGTCTCCTTCTCCTCGCATGTTCAAAGAATATAAGGTGTTTACCTCTGACGTGGGTAGTAAGTACTTTTCAGTCCTTTTTGTGAGTCCGTTTCTTTGGAGACATAGTCACTACTCTTTTTAATCTATGAAAATCGAAATGCACCTGCTTGAGAAGTATGGGCCATTAGTCTGTACAAAAACAAGCCAGATCTGTTAGTAGGATGTGCACGCAAAACTCAAATTCTGGAACAAGACTCAAGTCCAAAAGTGGACGTACAACCTGAAATTCCCGTGGGAGTTTACAGCCGGTTAATATGAAGAAGAATAAAGGATGTCTCGTCTGGATTGATACTCGTCTCTGATATTTACCTAGTGAGCCTTATGACCTATCTCGAACAGGCACTGCGAGCTGTCATACTGCTCCGAGCTTTACCCAATCTGCTGTGTCATGCCTACCTGAGTGTGGCCATGCCAGTCAAGTTCTGTTTGGCTCTGAGGAGAAGGAAGTACTTCACCCCCAGCCTCGGAGAGGACCCTCACTCGGAGACACTAGAACAGATCAAAAAGTCCTTCCAAGGGAAACATGTGACTAAGTTGCTACGGAAACCCGAAGTTGTCATGTGAGTTAATGTCACTTATTTGTACGTCTTCTGTTGTTGTTGATGATGATGATTATGTATATTCTTGTTGCTGCTGTTGTTACTGATATTTGTCTTCTCACTGTTTTGTTTATTGAATTTATACCTGATGTTGACTTTCCCTGTACTGTCGCGCTAAGTGCCAGGAGTACCCCATGAAAAGTGCCATTGTCTTCCAGACCTGTCTAGAGTGCTGAGGAATCAAGATGCACATTTTGAATTAGTCATTGGAGTCCCAGACTGTGCATTTTTTCTAGTGAATCCATAAAGGGCTCAGCCTGTGACGAGTGCGTGGCGCAGGGTTTTATTTCTAAGATAATATGGTGCCACTACTCACCACAGAATGTCTTTAAAAAAAAACGTGGCGGTATTCACCATAGAATTTCAAAAAATAAGAGGCGCAAAAATGGCGGTACTCACCTCAGAATGTAAAAAAAAAAAAAAAAAATAATAATAATAATTAAATTGCTGTATTCACCACAGAATGTCTTTAAAAAAGTGACGTATTTACTACAGAATATCTAAAAAAAAAAAAAAAAAAACATGTGCTGTACTCACCACAGAATGTCTAAAAAAAAAGTGTCGGTACTCACTACAAAATGTTCCAAAAAAAATGTGGCTCTACTCATCACAGGTTGGTGCTGGTAGTCACCTCAGAATGTCTTAAAAAATGGCTGTACTCTCCAAAGAATGTCTTTAAAAGTGGCGGTACTCACCACATTATATCTAAAAAAGTAGCTGTACTCCTTTTAATGCCGAAAATAGTGGCGGTATTCGCTGCAGAATGACTAAAAAAAAGTGACGGTATTCACCATATAATGTCTAAAAAAATCAAAATTTGGTAATCACCACAGAATGCCTAACAGAAAAAAATGCGGTATTCACCACAGAATTCTAAAAAATCAAATTGCGGTGTTCACCAAAAAACGTAAAAAAAGTGGCGGTAATCAAAACACAATGTCTTTAAAAGGTATCGGTATTCACCATAAAATAACTTTAAAACATATGGTGGTGTTCACAACAAGTATGTCTTAAAAATGTAGCAGTACTGACACGCAGAATTTATAAAACAAAGTTGCAGTATTCAAACTAGACTGTCTAAAAGATAGTGGTGGTATTTACATACAGAATGTCTAAAAAAAAGTGGCGGTATTCAGAATAGAATGTCTTTTAAAAAAAGTGGCCGTACCCACCACAGAATGTCTGATAAAAGGGATTGTATTCACCACAATATGAATTTTTAAAAAATGGCGGTGCTTACCACAGAATGTCTAACAACAAAAAGTGCCAGTACTCACCACATAGTGCCTAATATAAGTGCTAGTACTAACCACAGAATGTCTTAAAGGAAGTGCCAGTAGTCATCACAAGCTATCAAAACAGTAGCAGCACTCATTACAGAATGTATAAAAAGTGCCAGTATTCATCACAGAGTGTCTAAACAAATTGCTAGCACCCGCCACAGAATGTCTACAAAAGGTGCTGGAAATCACCGTAGAATGTCAAAAATGCAGTGCCAGTACTCATCACAGAATGTCTAAAAAAAAAAAAAAAAGAAAAGAAAGAAAGAAAATGACAGTATTTTCCACTGAATGTCTCAAATAAAGTGTCAGTACTCATCACAGATGTCACTGAATGTCTAAAATAAAGTGTCAGTACACATCACGGATGTCAATGAATGTCTTTAATAAAGTGTCAGTACTCATCACGGATGTCAATGAATGTCTAAAATAAAGTGTCAGTACTCATCACAAATGTCACTGAATGTCTAAAACAAAGTGTCAGTACTCATCACAGATGTCACTGAATGTCTAAAACAAAGTGTCAGTGCTCATCACGGATGTCACTGAATGTCTAAAACAAAGTGTCAGTGCTCATCACGGATGTCAATGAATGTCTAAAACAAAGTGTCAGTACTCATCACGGATGTGACTGAATGTCTAAAACAAAGTGTCAGTACTCATCACGGATGTCTAGAAAAAATTGCAGTACTCACCACTGAATGTCTTTAAAAGAATGCTAGTGCTTACTAGAGAATGTCTTTAAAAAATGTCATAACTCATCACATTATGTTTAAAAAAGTACCAGTACTTGCCACAAAATGTCTAAAACAAAGTGCTAGTACTCACCACAGAATGTCAAACAAGTACCAGTACTCACGACCTTTCTTTAATAAAGTGCAAGTACTCACCACAGAGTGCCTTAAAAAGTGACAATACTCACCACAGAATGTCTTAAAAAGTGCTAATACTCACCGTAAAATGTCGAAAAAGTGCAAGTACTCACCACAGAGTGTCTAAAAAAAAGCGGTGGTACTCACAACTGAATTGTTTAAATAAGAGATGGTACTCACCACAGAATGTCTTTAAAAAAAGCGCAAGTACTCACCAAAAAAAAAAAAAAGACTAAAAAGGAGGTTATACTCATTAAAAATATCTTTTTTTTAAAAAGTGGCCGTAATCACCCTGAAAGGTCTATTATAGTAGCGTTGAAGCAAATATTGTTTTCTACTACTGTATATTATTACTAGCCGCCAGATCAAAGAGTCAGAGGGAAGCTCGGTATTCAGATGTCAGCTTACCCTGTCTTAAGCAAGTAGTGACGATTCCATGGTTAAGCCCACCATGTATCAGATCTTTCCTAGCCCAGTACTAGAGCGCCATGTATCAGATCTTTCCTAGCCCAGTACTAGAGCGCCATGTATCAGATCTTTCCTAGCCCAGTACTAGAGCGCCATGTATCAGATCTTTCCTAGCCCAGTACTAGAGCGCCATGTATCAGATCTTTCCTAGCCCAGTACTAGAGCGCCATGTATCAGATCTTTCATAGCCCAGTACTACATCGCCATGTATCAGATCTTTCCTAGCCCAGTACTAGAGCACCATGTATCAGATCTTTCCTAGCCCAGTACTAGAGCACCATGTATCAGATCTTTTCAAGCCCAGTACTAAAGCGCCATGTATCAAATCTTTTCAAGCCCAGTACTAGAGCCCCATGTATCAGATCTTTTCAAGCCCAGTACTAGAGCCCCATGTATCAGATCTTTCCTAGCACAGTACTAGAGCCCCATGTATCAGATCTTTTCAAGCCCAGTACTAGAGCACCATGTATCAGATCTTTCCTAGCACAGTACTAGAGCCCCATGTATCAGATCTTTTCAAGCCCAGTACTAGAGCGCCATGTATCAAATCTTTTCAAGCCCAGTACTAGAGCCCCATGTATCAGATCTTTTCTAGCCCAGCACTAGAGCGTCATGTATCAGATCTTTCCTAGCACAGTACTAGAGCGCCATGTATCAGATCTTTCCTAGCCCAGTACCAGAGCGCCATGTATCAGATCTTTTCAAGCCCAGTACTAGAGCCCCATGTATCAGATCTTTTCTAGCCCAGTACTAGAGCGTCATGTATCAGATCTTTCCTAGCCCAGTACTAGAGCGCCATGTATTAGATCTTCCCTAGCCCAGTACTAGAGCGCCATGTATCAGATCTTTCCAAGCCCAGTACTAGAGCGCCATGAATCAGATCTTTCCTAGCCCAGTACTAGAAAATTTAATATTGTCCGTCCAAAAAAAAAAAAAAAAAGCACAGTGAAGATCAAAATCTGTTCTTGAATTTAAAGAAAACGAAAATAATGTCCACAGATAAAACTGGCTGTCAACCAAAAATAACCATAAATGATGAAGAAATTGAAAATGTCACAAACTTTGAATATCTAGGCTCTATAATAAACAAAAATAGAGACTGTTCGACAGAAATTAAAAGGAGGATGGCCATAGCAATGCAAAGATTCTTCTTCTTTTGTCAAAATCTGCTTGTGCCGCTAGGCGTCGCAGTCTATCAGATGATCGGCAACCGAGCCAGGGCGCGCTCAGTCGCTTCATATGCCGTGATGTTATGAAGTCTCAAGTTGTCCGTGACTCCTTCAATCCATCTTCTTCTTGGTCTTCCCCTGCCTCTTGGTGTTTCGATTTTCATGTTGTATGCTCTTGATGCTGGCATCGTTGGTTCCATTCACATTAGGTGACCAAACCATTTCATTCTTTGCTTCTCAATAAATTTAACGATGGGTATGGTTCCAATAGTTCTTGTAATCACATCGTTTCTCACTCTATCTCTTCTGGTTTTATTCGCAGCCATTCTCAATTATCTCATTTCACAGGTGGTTAGTCTTCTCTCGTGTTCTTTTGTTAATGTCCAAGTCTGACATTGATAACCTAATGTCGGTATAAAGATTGTATTTATAATTTGTCTTTTTATCTCAGCGGGGACAGCAGGGTGTTTTAAAATTGGGGCAAGCTGGTATGCGACATTGTTGGCTTGTTGGATTCTTGCTTCGATCTCTCTGTCTATTTTACCATTGAATGTAAAGATACTTCCCAAGTATTTAAATTCTTGCACTTGTTTTAGGCTGTGATCTAGAATCTTTATGTCGATGGTCTGTTGCTCTCTACTTATGCTCATGACTTCTGTCTTTTCAGTATTGATCTTTATATGATGCTTGAGGCAACTGTCGTGTAGTAGGTTTATGCGGTCTTGCAGCTGTTTACTATCACTGTGAAATATGCATTGATCGTCGGCAAAGAGCAGCTCATTGAAGTCCTCCTGTTTATCGACATCTGTTGGTGTTACGTCTATTTTATTAATATGGTCCATAAATATTATGAAAAGTAAAGGTGATAATACACAACCTTGTCTTACTCCTGATGTTACTGGGAACCAGTCTGTGATGCCAGCTCTTGTTCTAAATGCAAAGATTGAACAGCCTTAAAAGTCTATGGTTAAGCACCAGCAAGTAGATAAAAATTAGAATTTTGAGAGCATACATCTTCCCTGTGACTACATACAGATGTGAGTCGTGGACTATCTCTCAGTCCTTAAGAAATAGAATAGGGGGCTTTTGAGCTGAAATGCTATAGAAAGATTCTCAGAATATCTTGAACAAAGAAGATGAGAAATATTGACATCTTAAAAGATCTGAGCATCAAAGAAGATTGGCAAATAAACAGCATCCTTTCTCGAAAGCTGAAATATTTTGGTCATATCAAGCGCCACGACGGATTGGAAAAAAATTATAGCAGAAGGCATAGTACCAGGAAGGAGGGGCAGGAGCCGACCGTCACGAAGATGGGAACAGGATATAAGTGACTCCTTGAGTGTGAAAGTTCATGAGGCGGGAGAACTGGCAAGAGACCGAGTTTCTTACAGGCAGACTGTGATGAGTGCGACGTTCTGCAAAGGACCTGCTACATGATGATGATGACTAGAGCGCCATTTATCCGAATTTTTCAAGTCCAGTACTAGAGCGCTGGTGGCGTCTGTTGCTTGGGTGTTGCGAACGAGCTTCGTAATGCTGAGGTGCTGGGTTTGATCCTAGCTGCGGACTGTGCTCCTTGCATGGGTTTCGACATTGGTATCGAGAAGACGACAGTCCAGAAAGCAAGGGCAAACTACTGAGCGTAAAATTTCATAGAAAAAGCACAACAGTTAAAAAAATGCAAGGATACGCAACTAAATTTTTAGCTAGAGGGCCGTCTATCTGATCATTTTTAAGCCCAGTACTATATATAGTACTTTAAGCCCATAGAGCAGAGAATGCTTTTCACACTTTATCAGCACCTGATCCTGCCAGTGACTGTTTATGGCCTGGGACCGCTTACCGTCTCAAAGAGTCAGATGCATACACTAGAGCGCATAAAGAACGCAGATATGAGGATCATTCTGGATTGCACCGGAAACATCCTAGTGGTGTGTCTGCGATACATCTTTAGTTTGCCGACTGTTGCAGGTAGGCACAAGGTGCTGCAGGCGAAGTCATATCTCAAGGTAGCTGCAGACACAGATCACCCTTTGCACGAAACTCTGGGTGCAATTAAGGGTTAGCGGCTGATAAGAGAGAAGTCATAGATGGCTCAGGCAGAAGACAGTCAGACAGGCTTGCATTGCGAAGAACATTAGGCGAGGAGAGGAGTGGGTCAAAGTGCCACCTGAACAGTCAGACTTGTGTAGGCTCATAATCACATTTAGCCGGGAATGCAGAGACTGGTCAGTAGGTGATACGGAGGTTGAAATACAGCAATTAATTCAAAATAATGCTCGCTTAAAGGATTTGATTAATTATACAGACGGCTCAGTGTCAAGAGGCAAAAGAACTGCTTGGGGTTTCTTGGCAAAAGTTAATGGTCGACGTTTGATGCAGGAGAGCTTAGCATATGATATCCCAACATCCAGCTTTAGAATGGAGGTGGGGGCGAACACTGCAGCTTTCCGCTGGTTAGATAACACGACACACACACACACGCACGCACACACACATACACACGTACACACGCACGCAAGCACACACACACACGTCACATACACACACACATTACACACACACACACATCACACACACATATCACACACACATCACACACACACATCACACACACACATCCCACACACACATCACACACACACATCGTACACACACAAATCAGACATCGTGATTGTAACTGACTCAGAAAGTATGCCGAGGACGGTCAGGACAGGCATGCTTCGTGCAGAGTCGCATGCTTCACTTCAAAGAACACGGGTGAGGAGTATTGTCTGAATTTTTTCCCCGCGGGAAAAGCGGTGTTTTGTTAAATGAACAGGAAGACAGACTTGCTGGCTCTGCAGAACGTGGTAAAATACCGATGCCTGATAAGTCAGAAGTGGTTAATGTCTTGTGAGAGAGTGTCTACAGTTCGGAGGAGCAGATGGATCACCACGGTCTGGTGAGATTAATGCAAGGGGGGAAGGGGGGGGGGGGGGGGGTGGGGGGGGGGGGGGGGGGGGGGGGGGGGGGGGGGGGTGTGGGGGGGGGGGGGGGGGGGGGGGGGGGGGGGGGGGGGGGGGGGTGGGGGTGACGAGAGGTTCTGGCAGATGCTCGAGGCCCAGAGGAAAAGCGAGACGGACGTTTAATCAGAATGCTACTGGCATCATTATTATTGGAACTCTGCACTGGCTGCTGAAGATGGGGACACAGCTTGTGGGAATGCCCCGAGTGCTGTGATATCGATTCCTAAATCCACTCAACTTTTTAAAGCCCAGTCCTAGAGTAACATGTATCAGAACTTTTGAAGTTCAGTACGAAAGCGGCATCTATCAAATCTGTCATAGTGTCATACTGTCATACTGTCATTCTGTCAGTCATAGTATCATACTGGCCTTCTGTCATAATGTAGTGTCATACTGTCATACTATTATTCTGCCATACTCTCATACTGTTATTGTGTCATACTATCATTCTATAACATTACCATACTGTTATTTTATCATTCTGTTACACTGTCATACTTTCATTCTGTCAGTCTGTCATAGTGTCACAGTGATATAATGCCAAAATTGTATTATAACATACTTACATTCTGTCATAGTGTCACACTGTCATTCTGTCATACTATCATACTGGTATTCTTTCATACTGTAATACTGTCATACTATTAGTCTGCCAAACTCTCATACTATTATTTTGTCATATTCTGATTCTGCTGTACTCCCCACAAAATGTCTTTAAAAAAAGTGTTAGTACTAGCACCCCTCTTACAGCATAAGACAATCCCAATCAGCACAAAGAGACATCTTATTCAAAGCATATTTATTCCAACTCGGTGCTACCAGTGCCAGACATGGTCACTCACAACAAACCATAAAAGAAAATTAGTAACCATGGAAATGAGATGTCAGAGAAGGGCTGTAGGAGTGACCATAAGAGATAAGATCAGGAATGAGATCATAAGAGAAAAAGTCGGCACAGAACCAATTCTAAATGACATACAAAGACAGCAAGTGAAATGGTTTGCCCACTTAGAGAGAATGCCTTGTGACACCATACCATACAAAGCATACATGGAAAGAGAAGAAGGACGTAGAGCACGGGGTAGACCAAGAACAATATGGAAGGATAACATCAGAGAAACTCTACAACAGCACGATGTGCTTATGGTCGAGGCAGCCAGAAGAGCTAGAAACAGAACATTATATCTCCCTCGACACTCACAGCGGTAAAAGAGGAAGTGAAGAAGAAGAAGAAGCTAGTACTATCATACTGTTATAATGTCATTCTGTCATACTGTCATTATGTCATACTGTCATCATTTGTATAATTTTGTCAATTTTAGACCACCAGTAGGAGTAATTAATATTCTGAAGGCTTATATGAGGGAATTCCTGGAGACATGGATGTACCGTACAGAGAACAGTAAGAAATTCTGACCTTTTATACAATGTGCTTTCTATATGTGTGGGTTCTGGGGCCACATGATGGAGATAACAAGAATAGACAAACTGCCTCTCCAACTAGCATTTATCGTAAGGCTCGACTAATTAGGGGTCTCCCCCTAAGCCAGAGTGCCTCTGCCTAAGAGAACAGTCAACGTAAAAATAAGCCGAATGGATGAAACAGACATGAACGGAAGATTCAAATTGGTACAGGACTAAAGTTCATAAGTGGATGAACAACCAGAACTTTCCACCAGAGTTTACATCCGGTGAACATTTAGAAGAAGAAGTAAAAGAAGAAGAAGAAGAAGAAGAAGAAGAAGAAGAAGAAGAAGAAGAAGAAGAAGAAGAAGAAGAAGAAGAAGAAGAAGAAGAAGAAGAAGAAGAAGAAGGAGAAGAGGAAGAAGATCACCCTTCTGTAAAGATCACCCCTCTGCAATAGCACGCCATCTTCTAAAATCTGGACACGTGGTAACTAAATGCGACGCATTTCAAATCCTTCATGTGTCAACCAATGGCAGAACGCTAAGATTTCTCGAAGCTTCCGCGATTCGTCACCTGCGCACAGAACTCTGTATTCAGAAAGAGATGGTTCTGTCTTTACGGCTGCCCTGGTAAAAACAGAGTGTTTGATCGTTGTTGAAATGGTACTTCATTTATAAAGGATTTTGCTTCATTTATGTAATTGTTACTGTAGTGTGAACCTGGCGAGATACAGCGAAATACGCCAGGCAATAAATCGTGCAATCTATTGTTTGTGTCTTCTTTGCTCAAATAATAAAAATAATAAAAAGAAGAACAAGGAGGAGTAGGAAGAGAAGAAGAGGAAAGAAGAAGAAGAAGAAGAAGAAGAAGAAGAAGAAGAAGAAGAAGAAGAAGAAGAAGAAGAAAAAGAAGAAAAAGAAGAAGAAGAAGAAGAAAAAGAAGAAGACGAAGACGAAGAAGAAGAAGAAGAAGAAGAAGAAGAAGAAGAAGAAGAAGAAGAAGAAGAAGAAGAAGAAGAAGAAGAAGAAGAAGAAGAAGAAGAAGAAGCAGAAGAAGAAGAAGAAGAAGAAGAAGAAGAAGAAGAAGAAGAAGAAGAAGAAGAAGAAGAAGAAGGGTGAGGAGGAGGAGAAGAAGAAAGAAGAAGAAAAAGAAGAAGAAGAAGAGAATAAACGCCTGCGGATTAAAAAAAAAAGACTTTGGCTCCCAGTTCGATTCAGCCTCAAATCGGTTCAAGGCAAAGTCCTAGAAAATAAAGGCAGCCAATGTGATGCTGAACCGCATCACCCCACCAAGTGCTGAATTCTCTATACAACAAATTTCTAGCCCTGTATGATGTAACAAGAAGACGTAATCACTGGTTTGTCAGGAGATAAGATACTGCGCAAGGTTAAGATATTACACAAAGAAGAGACATGAGCTAAAATACCCAAAACCCCTGAAGGCATTAAAGAAAGTTTTTTTTTTTTTACTTTACAAAGATTATGAATGCCATTGATGATACATTTTAAAACGCTTTTTCAGGTTTTCGGTATCCCTCACTGCTGGCGTCGGTCATGTTTATAGCTGCATTTATTATTTATGTTGTAAGTATTAATTCGTATGTTTAAACTGTTAGCTGTAGGTAAACTTGTAGAGCGTTAACTGTAAATAACATTGGGGTTATATAACAACATTTTTTTTCAGAATAGAGATGGAGGCAGTCACATCAGCTTTCCGCTGGCTTGAGAATAAATTTCACTCGCAAAAATGAATTGTAGCAGACTCCCGAAGCTTGCTGAGTAAGATTGAGAAAGGCATCCAGCGTGCAAAGCGGCACGCTTCGCTGCCTAAGTCTCCTGTTTATGCAGGTGTAGTGATATACTAACATGCAGACATACTGGATGGTGCTGTAACACTGGCTGGTAATAGATGCATGATAAGTGAAATGTGACCAAAATACCCTTTGGGATACAAATCAACAACTAGGTAGCGTGGATAGATCTCTTTACGGTGTGGAAAGAATAGTCCAGTCGGGAGTGACCAGCGGATCTGTGTGACCATCGGATCTGAACGACACTCTACACTCAGAAAAAGTACCAGACGAACACATAATCAGACTTCTATTGGTACCAACGGATTTAGAGCTCTTCGCTGGCTGCTGAAGATGGGGACGGAAGGCTTAGAGTATGTTATACATACTGCGATACCCGTTCTTAACTTAACTAAACTCAACTAAAATTGTATTATCCTTTGGCATTTTGCATTTTTTTTTCTTTGTTTGAGAAAAGCGGAAAAGGCATACTCCACGAAGAGTCGCTAGCATCGCTTTAGAGGTCTAAGGTAGTTAGCGTCCTGTACCACTTGGTGGTGAATTGGTGTATGACAAGTTAGATCTTGTGAGGGCCCTTTGGAAACGAATGAACAGAGCGGAGGGTCAAATAGATCATTACAGTCTGAGGGGAATGGAGCTGCTAGGCGTTACCATGGGATCTGGCCGACGCTCAACACTCAAGGAAAAGACGAGACGGATATACAAAGTAAAGTAAAGTAAAAGTAAAGATCTTTTTCGCGCCTTTAGGCCCATCGGGCATATGGAAAGAGGACCCATATTTGTACAGACCAATCGGCACTAGCTGGGTAACGTGGTCAGCATTACGCCGGCCGTCTTTACTTTCCTAGGACATACATCCTGGCACCCATTTTAGGCTTGGTTAACCTGCGACGCCCCATAGCATGATAAAAATCCACGCAGCCAGCAGTGGGATTTGATTGCGGTACGTTGGAATTACGAGTCGGACTCGCAATGCTTGAGCCACGGACGCCGCAGACGGATGTACAGTTAGATAGTTACAAGTAACATCGGAATTGAACTCTTTGTTGTTGAAAATAGGGACGGGGCGCGCATGGAAGTGTCCCGAGCGCTAAGAAGTCGATTATTAGTTTAACATTCAGCATGCATATGTTTTGTTTCATCCTTGTGATTTCATTTCATATATTAAAGTCTGTGTTCTACTGTTGCAGATCTGTGTGGAACTCCTTGTTTCGATAATCTCAAATTTCAAGTTTTTTTTGGACATCTATATGGCCGTCTTAGATACACTGAAGGAAGACGACCCGTTACATATGTCTTTTTATCGTATCTGGTATTGCTTACAAATATTACAAGGTTGGTTGCTGCCACGCATAGCCATACACTTAACAGAGGGGAGGCGGAATCAGTTCGCATGTATAAGCTGTTTAGATAAGAATTTTCCCGTGTGGATTTCCTGGGCCTTGTTATAGGCAAAACAAGAAGAGACCCACTGACTATCCACAAGCATATCGTAAGAGTCAACTAATTGGGAGCTTCCTTCAAAGTCGGAGTGCATCTGCCTGAAAGGCAAGGAACCAGCAATCTGCATACAAATGAGTCAGATCTGTAAAATGAATGCACACGCAACACTCAAGTTCTGGAACAGGACTGCAATCCAGAAGTGGATGAACAACCAGAACTTTCCGCCAGAGTTTACAGCTGGTAAACGCGAAAAAGAAGAAGAAAAGATAAGAATTAGGCGCTAGCACGATTACACTGGATAGCAAATAACATGATATTGTCCTTCTTCTCGCTTTGCTTACGAGATTTTTGCCTGCGTCGCTGGCATAGTCACTGTTAGGGGTCGTCTCGGCTATGGGACAGTTCAGTGTGATGATAGTAGATCAGCGATATCATACGCTGTGACCCCTAACTAAACTCAGGCCATGTATAGACACGGATAAATCTGTGTTAGCTGAACGAGGCTTGTTAAACACCAGCAAAATTGACCGATAGGTTAACACTGGGAGTTCAATAAAACGAAAAAATTTCATACAATGAAATGTGCTCACGGAAATTGTGATGCTGCATTTCTCTGTGTTTCTTGTTTGCAGCACTGCACAACAATAACAAAATATAAATAAATAAGACCCCCCACCCCACCCCACCCCTTCCCCCAAAAAATAGATTGCACAATTTATTGCCTGGCATATTTCGCTGCATCTCGCCAGGTGCATACTACGGTAACAATTACATAAATAAAGGGGGAAAAAATTGTGAATCTTTTGTAACTGAAGTACAATTTCAAAAACTATTAAACACACATGCTTGTTTTACCGGTGCAGCCGCAGTGGCAGAATCATATCTTTTTGTTTACACAGCTCAGGGCGAAGGTAACGAATCACTGCGGCCGCAAGGGATGTTAGTGTTCTGCCATTGTCTGACGTGTTTGGATGATATGAAATGCGTTGTTCTAGGATACGGTTTGTCCACATTTGAAAAGATGGCATGCTATTGCAGAATGATGGTCTTTACGACCGGCATCCTCTTTTGATTTTTACAGTGCATTGGTTGTTGTTGTTGAAACATTTCTTTGATTACACAATAATTGGGATCTACAGTCACAATTATACATTGTTCTTTTCGTAATCTTCGTTTTCTCATGTTTCCCCCATTAGGCATGTATTATTCACACACAAACAACCCACACCCACCCACCCCCCACCACACACACACACGCACGCACGCACGCACGCACGCACGCACGCACACACACACACACATACGTACGTTTTCCTTGAGTTTGTCTCACTAGATATATATTATAAAACACAGAATACTTTCAAGACTACACGATACTGTATCTATGTTGTTCTTCCAGTTTGTGTCATAGTGCAGACATTTTAAAACAAATGATACTTGGACATACCAGAACATTAGATCTGTCTCTTTTTTTTTTCAAAAACGCTTTTGGCTCATTATGTATATATGGGAAAACAATGATCCTTATAAAAATCACATGTCATGCTAGACATAAAACAAATTATACAAAAAGCATTACACTGATCCTATGTTTGCCTCATTAACAAATGCCATTTATAAAACATGATATCTAATCTCTGATTGTTATTTGTTTATCTCATTAGATCTAAAACAAACGATACTTACCAAAAGGATACTGATAATCCTGTTTCTCTTATTTGACATACAACAAACGTTATTGACAAACCTGATAATCAAACATCTGCTTTTCTCTCTTTTTGCTAGTGTTGTGGCAACAATGCTAGTGTTGACTGGTTCTAGCTGTTCGCTCTTGTGCGTGCCTCACCCAAGCCATAAAGTCTGGACACAAACGTATATTCAAAGCAAGATGATAACGTTGCATTTGTTTATTCTGACCCAACAATAAAAGATTCTGTCGATGTCCAAAGTTCTCCCTAATCGTTGACACAGGCTCACGACAGCCTCCCGCGACAAGACGACACTTAAAAAACAAACAGGTAAAAAGGTAAAGTCGGGAGATGTGAATCAGCGTCATTGCACACGGTTATAAACCATAAGTGCTCTGCCACCAGTACGGACAGCTGATACGTTCGCACGTAACTCTGTAGCTACAGCGACGTTCCTCCATTTACCCCAGATGACACTTAAACAATGGTTGCAGTTACCTGCCAGTCAGGACGTTCTATTAGAATAGACAATGGCATCTGAATTATCCAAACACAAATGTTTACATAACCCTAGACATGGTCACTTAGACTCAATTCTACTCAGGCACTCGAGCTTTACTAAAGCTGGTCCTCCAGTTTCGCAATGAAATACGCCTCACGTATCATCAAGCAACCTTCTTCTCACGCCGACCAAACACAGCTGACTCTATCTACTCTCTTTGTTCAAACCTTCCGTTCCAGTCTCACGCTTTTCCTGTACCTCTGTTCACACAACACGGGATAATCGAAACATGCATTTCTCTCGTTTCTCTTGTTTCCCTGGCCATTTGAACTTGTCCCCTAAATTAGCAACTATCTGGGATTTCACTAGGAATTCACCTCGTTACAATCATCATAATCATCATCATCACCTCCACCGCCAGCACTGGTGACTGATTCTGGAATTATCTGCATGTTTCTTTCCAAGTTCCTGTGATTTTTCTTTTTTTGTGCTTTTTTGATCACATTTTTAATGCTTTGGGAGGAGATGGGGTGGGGATTTTAAAAGAAAAGGGGGTGGGGGGGGTGGGGGGGTGGGGGGGGGGAGAGGGTCTTGCCGTACATTTAAAGGGGAACTCACCTGAAAAAAAGTATAGAGACCGGTAGTGTCGATGATTAAAATCATTCATTAATATATCAGTCTTTCTTTCTTTAGTCGTCTCACTGACACCGGGTTGTCTCTCACCATGTGTCGTGTTTTTCTGTATTTGTCTTGTGCTTCCCGGGTGGCTTGGGTTTGTTCATTATTTTTGCAGGTGTCAGCAACGCCATTTACCCATCTCTTTCTTGGCCTTCCCCACAGATGTTTGTCTGTAAAAAAAAAGTCTCATATGCAGCTAGCTCTGGCTGCATTCTCACTAGATGGCCGAACCATTTCACTCTTTGTGTGTCGACATATTCCCGACATGGTCTTATTTTAACTTTCTCTCTGATGCTGGTATTCGTAACCCTGTCTCTTTTTGTGCTGTTTGTAACCTTTTTTATGTTCTAGTGCCCTATTCATTGTCATTGTCTGTACTGATAGCATAAAGTAGTGACGAAGAGCTAATAACCATTTGCCGTTTTACTGGAAGGGAGATATTTGGGTTTCTAATCATTGGAAGGTGATAGCATTTGCCTTCTGTACTCTAGCTTTTATTTCTCAGTAGGCCGGTTAAATTTAGGTCCTCCGGCAACAGTCAGGGTGGGACTTCAGAAAAACGAAAAATTGTCTCCCGCTTAGGGACGGCCGATAACTAGCGTTATTAATCAAAATTTTACCTTGCATATCACAAATCCTCTAGCGTTACTAGTTAAAATGTTATCGTGCATATCACAAAAACCTCTAGCGGTATTAGTTAAAATGTTATCGTGCGTATTACAAAACCTCTAGCGTTACTAGTTAAAATATAATCGTATCTATTACAAAACCTCTAGCGTAACTAGTAAATATGTTATCGTGCATATCACAAAACCTCTAGCGTTACTAGTTAAAATGTTTATATCTATATCACAAAACCTCTAGCGTTACTAGTTTAAATGTTCATGTCTATATCACAAAACCTCTAGCGTTACTAGTTAAAATGTTCATGTCTATATCACAAAACCTCTAGCGTTACTAGTTAAAATGTTCATGTCTATATCACAAAACCTCTAGCGTTACTAGTTAAAATGTTCATGTCTATATCACAAAACCTCTAGCGTTACTAGTTAAAATGTTCATGTCTATATCACAAAACCTCTAGCGTTACTAGTTAAAATGTTATCGTGCATTTCATTAAAACCTCTAGTATTACTAGCTAAAATGTTACTTTGTTCGCAATGAAAGCATTGGTATAAATTGTTATCCATATGAACGTTTTACCTTGCAGGACCAATTTGTATGCAATGTACAGGGGAGACTACACACATATTCCTTCCCCAGCTACCCAAAGTGCTGTCGCTTTGTGTGTAAGTTCACGTTGTTTATTGTAAGAAAGTATGCTAATCCTAAATCCAGAAACATTTACGCAGTTAGCCACAGAAACCATTACACAAACAGCCATAAACACGTTTAAATGTTTAACATAATGAAAAGAAATATACACATAAACAAAAAAACACGCCTAAACACAAACAGCATAATAAAAACATACATATGTATGCATATATGCTTTACAATTAGCATTGGAACCTACAGTAAGCTAGTGGCTAAGACCAGTATATTAGGGCCCATCCACCACGACGTTCCGCTGCGTCCAGATCCAGCTCGAAGCTCTCTCCGCGGCTTCGTCCATCTGAGTGATTTTATGCTCATTCCTCTCAAGACGAGCTGATTTAGCACATTGTAAGTGGAAGTGGAGATATGACCTCTTGTGCCTGCCTCGACGGCGAAGTTTTTAACTGTGTACGTCTGGTCTGTCACCAGACCGGCTACAAGCTCACCGTTCTTTTCGAGCTTGTACAAGTGATTTCTATCTATGAACGGGGAATTTGAGATTCGTCCCTTTTCTTCTCATTGTCGAGATGTTAATCCTTAAAACAATCCAGCACATGTGGGACAAACAGATAACAGTTGAAGAAGAGAAATTATGTGCATATATGCATGCGTGCGTGTGTGTGTTTGTGTGTGAGTATGCGTGTGATAATATGTGTGTGTGTGTGTGTGTGTGTGTGTGCTTACGAGCGATGTGAGTGGTTTGTAGGTGTGTATGTTTGCAAGTCTGTGGAAGGTGAGAGGCTGTATGGAGGTGTGTGTGTGTGTGTGTGGGGGGGGGGGTGACATTGGAGGTGTATGTGTGTGTTAGTGGGGTATGTTGACATGTGTGTGTGTGTGTGTTTGTTTGTTTGTTAGATTATGTATGTGTACAGATAGTGGTATGTAGGTGTGCGTGTGTGTGTGTAGGTTGGTGGAGGTACGCAGGTGTGTATGTTTGTAGGGGTATTAAGGTATGTATGTAGGTTGGTAGGGGTATGTAGGTGTGAGTGTGTATATATGTGTGTGTATATATGTGTGTGTAGGTTGGTATGAGTATGTAGGTGTGTGTGTATGTTTTGTTGTTGTTGTTGTTGAAATTTTCCAGGTGCACACTTCCTCTAGATTATAGCTTGTAAGTAATCCATCAGCTGTGTATGATCTTATCATGAAGTACTTTACATTAAATGCACATGCCACTTAAAAGTACTTACGAAACGCACGCACGCACACGCACACACACACACCACACACACACACACACACACACACACACACAAAGCCGACACTTCAACACTCAGTTCATTAAAAAAAAAAAAAAAACTCATTGACTGACTGGCTCACTCACAAGCTTGCATTCTCACCCACACTTTCATTCACTTACTCAACCCTTCATAAAATTTTTATATATGAATGTTTATAATTATATTAATCGTTTCTTTCTAGACGGCCAGTATCGAGTATGCAGGCTTTCAAGTTGCTTATATCATATGGGGTAAGTTCTTAAAAGTATAGATAGACCAACTTCATAGTTCGTTTACCTGTGGTTTCTGACACTCTTCCCAGTGATATAACATCATCATCATTGTCAGAAACCTGTGTGTACAGTCACAGGACAGTGCATACCATAGAGATGGTGTACTCCGTGTAAGGGCATGATGGAGAGTTGACGAACAGGTCAGGACCGTGGAATCATGAACGTCTATGTATGTGCTGGGATGGCTGATGGAAAATACAGTTCAGCCCGATACAGTAGTGGCGAGGATAAAGCGTGGCTGAATTGAACGCTCACTGACGGGTCCAAGATGTCCATATGGTCTCGACTGAGCCAGCGGACTGTTGCTAAAAAGTCACAAGTTTTTGAGGCAGGAACATTCTGACAGCGGACAGAAGACCAGAGACATCTGATAAATAGGAGGACTAGAATCTTAGCGTGTTGTGGTGATATTCTATTGCCCGAATAGCTTGTGATACCTTGTTTCTTTAGGGAAGCCTGTCGGCTCTGTGGCTAAGTCGAAGCGAACGCTTCGTAATGCCGGGATGGATTCCGGCTGCAGGCCATGCGCCTTGCGTTTGTTTCGACAGTGGTATCAAGAAAGCCGATCGTCCAGAAACCAATGGCAAACTACTGGACGTAAATTTGCCTAAAAAAACTACACAACAGCCAGGAGCTGTTGGGGTTGGTTATGCAACGTCCTGTAAGAGGATTTGCAACTAACCTTAGGGAAGCACAGTGTCTCTGCGCTTTGCAGCGTTGGAGGGCGACGGTGTTCTGTATAAATGTATTACACAAGTTGTTCTGAGTTATTCTGAAACGCAGGCTCGGTTTTTGCGCAGGCTATTATGATAGTATCTACCCCTGCCCACTGTGCGGGCACTTCTCGATTCTAGTCGAGCCCAGTGGCGTAAGATAAGTGCGTATTGAGAGTGGTTTGGATCTAGGTGATGCCCATGGGAACGGGAAGGCGTGTCTAGTAAGTTGTGATGATAGAACAGCCTGCGTTTCGGGTACGGAAATCTCATACCTCTCGAAGTCAACTGTCCTATTGTAAATCTGTGATTTTCATTAAAGATTGTTGTGTATGCTCTGTGGGTGTCCGGTTTAGTGTGTTTTTAGATAGACTGTCTACTGTTTGCCACAGGTCCATACCACGAGTCATCAACCATCACAGTAGATAATAGGTCAGTGACAATAATCATCATTATCGTTGTCATACCCTATTTATACGCGACATAAAGCACGCTGTTTTTTCATCTGGTAATCTTAGTTTCAGCTTCATAGCAAACGGGTCAACCCACAGTTGCTCCGCTCCTGTGGCAACTAAAAACACACAGAATGTTTATCCCAGTCCCTTGTGGCAAGATTGACAGACTTCTGTCTCAGCATATGTACTAGCATAGACACGCATTAAAAAGCATACGGTAGCCATTCGAAGTGCTAATACAAACAGTCCGACATTAGAAATTCAGTTCATCATGGATAATAGCAGAAGTCACCAGCAGATCAGCAGTTGCACACGCGATCAATTTTAATCACATAATGGCACCACTAATATTGCGACAACAGGAATCGCGCCATTTTCTGAATCTGCAATTCAATTCACAACACCACGTTGGTCACAGTAGAAAAACATTCCAAATGAAATCAGCAGCTCACAGTGTCACGCTATGCACTAAAATAAGAAGCTGGGCGACGAAACTCTCCTTCTTTTTCTTCTTCACTTCCTCTTTTACCGCTGTGGGTGTCGAGGGAGATATAAGGTTCTGTTGTAGAGTATCTCTGATGTTATCCTTCCATATTGTTCTTGGTCTACCTCGTGCTCTACGTCCTTCTTCTCTTTCCATGTATGCTTTGTATGGTATGGTGTCACAAGGCATTCTCTTAAAGTGGGCAAACCATTTCACTTGCTGTCTTCGTATGTAATCCAGAATTAGTTCTGTGCCGACTTTTTCTCTTATGATCTCATTCCTGATCTTATCTCTTATGGTCACACCTACAGCCCTTCTCAGACATCTCATTTCCGTGGTTACTAATTTTCTTTTATGGTTTGTTGTGAGTGACCATGTCTGGCACTGGTAGCACAGAGTTGGAATAAATATGCTTTGAATAAGATGTCTCTCCTTTCAGTCTACAAATGGAGCAAAAATGCACCGGCCACCGTCTGGCAGAAGTAAAAAACAATTTGCCACGGCTCACAACAGAGACCGTGCCTAGCGCCCATTTTGACCGGAAGTAGTCGTTTATTCATTTATTCGTGTGTGGGTTCTGAGGTCCCGTTTTGAAGTGGGTGGGAAAGAAGAATAGACCCATTGCAATAATTGTGCCGTATAAAGCAATAAATTGGAGTATTGCTGAAGTCACGTGTGTTGGGCTAGGAGACGCATTTATTGCTGCCTACGCAACAAGAAAGAAAACTATGTCTTTCATTATTTTTGTTTTTTGTTTTTTGTTGTTGAACCTTTCAGGTTTTGCAGCTGTTGCCTTTGTCCTAATCATCATCTGTATCGTTCTGGCAATTCTCGTAACGCTTCTGCTAAAGGGAATTGATGAATGGCTGGTGAAGCTGCTCCTCAGTTGGTGGTATGTATGTATGTATTATATAGATATACATATATATATACTGCTTATATATATATATATATCTATATATATATATATGTTATATATATATATATATATATATATATATATATATATAAAAGTATATATAGTTTCCTCGCACAACCATTTGATACATGTGTATTCCCAAGCACGTCACGTGACTTGGCTAGAGCTGTGGCCCGTAATAGAGTAGGCCATGGTTTAACTCACTTCATGTCCCCCACATATTTTCACTCCACTCTCTAAAAGTCCATGTGACTTTTAGATTACAGTAATTACTGCTTTTTACGCATGTCTGGCTAGACCTATCTGTTTCATAGATAAATCGGTACTCGATAGGCGATAGAGCCGACATCACCCCAGTCACCTTTACTTCTCCTGACATTACATGGTACCCATTTGAGGCTGAGTCGAACTGGGATTATGGTCAAGCGACTGCAATTTATTAGCTACAATGAGGTTAGTACGCTCGCCGCGGATCGGAAAATCGTGGGTTCGCTTCCTGGCGGGGCCAGACTTTTTTTTTTTTCAAAAATGACCTTAGCTCCCAGGTCGATCCAACCTTGAGTGGGTACCGGATGCCGTCCCGGGAAATAAAGGCGACCGGTGTGATGCTGACCACATCACCCATCTTGTGCCGATTGGTCTATAAAATATAAGACTAGCCCTATTTGCCCTATACGCATAAAGGCTTGGAAAAGGGTCCTTGACTTTTTTTTTCACATGTGGTAAGTTTTGACACGGTTCCATCTTTGATGGGTATTAAGACCGTAAGTACTGGTTTCAAAAGTTTGAAATAAGGCTTAAAATCTTTAAGCTGTGTGTGGGTTTCAAATGACAGCAGGTCTTAAAAGTGTATTTTTGTTCTTAACGTTGATGCTGTGTGATGTTAGTAGTCATGTATATCCACAACCTTCTGTCTAGTATACTTTCAATCAACTCTGACACAGATGACCCTCCTTGTCATGATGTCAAACTGTCGTGCATCGTTTCTCTAAGTCTCCCTTTGCCTCTCCTACCCTCCAACTTTCCTACTGTCACTATGTACTCCAATTTTCTCCTTCTCATCACGTGACCAAATAATGTAGGTTGTCTATTTCTGATGTGGGCAATTAGTTCTCTCCGTGTGTCGTTTCTTTCAAGACATCTTCATTACTCGTTTTTATCTGTCCATGGTATTCTCATTATTCGTCTATAAAACCACGTCTCTGCAGCTTCCAATTAAGGTTTCACCAATTTACCAACTGTCCATGATTCACTTCCAAATATCAAGATAGGATGCATATAGCTTTTAAGAATTCTCTTTCTCGTCTAAAGACGGCATAAAATATTCTTCATTTTAAATAATGCGGACACAAACATTGTGTCCGAATTTTTAAAAAAATTCTTTTTTTTTAAATAAAATGCTGCCTTTGCTTGAGTTATTCTACATTTATCTTCTTTAACACATCTTCCATCTGATGTGATCAGGGTACCCAAGTACCTAAGCTTAAAATCTACATTATGTATCTATAATGTATCTTTTACAATATACCCAGTGTACACAAGGGGCGTGGAAAAGGGTCTTTTTAATTTTTAATTTGAAAACCAATTTTTTTTTTTTTTTCACTTCTGGCTGTTTAAATAAACCTCTTTCTTCCGCAGGCCTGGTTTGGTCCTTGCTATTGCAATCTTTGTGCTGCAGTTCTTGTTGAGCAAATATGTATTTCTTCAGAACAATGGAGAGCATTTACGACTTGATAACAGGTACTTTTTCAGTATTTGTGTTGCTAGGTTTACAAAAAAAAAAAAAAAAAAAAAAAAATATATATATATATATATATATATATATATATATATATATATATATATATATATATATATATATATATATAAAAGGGGTGGAATGTTGGGGGGAGGGGGGAGAGGACGGGGTAGGGGAGGACGGAGTAAAAGGGGGGGGGGATATGTGGGTGGTGGGTTACAACTTTTAAATTAAATATATAGTTGACTGACTTTCTACCCCACCAGGACATCACACAAGCGATAAACACCCGATGACACAAAGTGCCACCATGTGGATGAGGATCGCCGTGGAGAGGTCCCAGAAACCGCGTTCAGACATTTGGCCATAATGATGGCCTGCCTATATTGCGGCCCCTGGCAAAAGCCAGGGTGGGGCTTCAAATAACAAAAAATTTCGTCCTAAAAAGGACGAAACACCTAGCATATGCTAGAGTTATTGTTATGTAAAATATATAGTTTGAGATTAGTAAATTTAAAATAAAGCTTTCAGACATCCATTTTTAGATTCAAACTTTTAATATTGCAATTTTATGATTACATTGTTAAAGTTAAATTGTTCGGGTGAAAGGCTTAGATTAAAGTTTTTCAAGTTTTTAGCTAAAATATTTAAATTAAAGTGCTTAGACCAAATTGTAAGAATAAAGTATTTAGACTGAAGATATTGATGGTCACCCCATGAATATCATAGTAAACAGCGAGACAACCAAAAACCAGAAATTGTTTTATTCTATTTCAAACATGTAGTACCAGATAAAATCAGGGGCAGTATTAGTATTAAATCGTAACAGACATATCTGTTGCGTAGCGATAAGCAGGTGTGTATCGCTTCCTTAACCAGTGTCTAAAAGGTGACTGATTATGCCTCAGACATATAGGCAAAGTCGGCTCTGTGGCTAAGTCGATGCGAACGCTTTGTAATGCCGGGGTGCCGGGTTCGATCCCAGCCGAAGGCCATGCGCCTTGCAGTGGTATCGACAGTGGTATCGTGGGCCGACCCTCCAGGAAGCAATGGCAAACTACTGGACGTAAATTTGCCTAGAGAAACTACACAACAGCCAGGGGGTGCTGGGGTTGGTTCTGCAAGGTTCTGTAAAGGATATGCAACAAACCATATAGGCAAAAGTTCCCCCAAGCCAACCTCCTGGCGACTAATATGGTTCCATACCTGGAAGTACTACGTTAACACAGTTCTCATAGTCAGATCATAATACTAACACCGACAACAGTCCGCAGCCAATAACCTCAACATAACGGAAAAAGCCATTTCTTTAATCGTGCATCAGTCTATTTATTGGGACGCAACACAGAATGACGATGAGCATGAACTGGTGATACAGGACGTCTGTCCATTAAATTCTCTACCTATATTATATATTATAATATGCTTCCAAGGCACTGAAAGGGAACACCTAGACTCGACTCGACGTGAGTCCACAACATACGCCTTCGGCCTCCTGGCCCACTCTTGTGGTCAAAAGTAGCCTTAACGAACACTGAAGTTATGTGCCCACACTTTGGGTCACCAATAACCAATACACGATAACTCATTAGAGACTCTACACCAGGCACAACGTCTGTCGATGCATAGTCGAATGAGAATCTTCACGAGGCACGACACTATCCCGTTCTCGCAATTCCTCCACAATTCACCGCCCGACTTCTGTCGATCATTGTGGCAAAAAACATGTTGAGCTCTCAACGCCTTGTCTCTACAAAGTCCGCACAACGGGAGCATTTCGACTCATACACCAAATTCTAAAGCCTAAGGTAAACTTTTACTGAACTAAAATGATACACATAATTACTGCTTAAAATGCACAGTCAACTGAACATGCGTCCCAATCGGACTGGCTGAGAGGCTCCGCGCTCCGGGCCTCTCATGGTTCTCGCTAAGTGCGTACAAACCACTTTTAGTAGAGAATCTCCAGCAACACCTCTTTCACGACTGTGTGCACCTCGTGGACCATTGCACTCGTCTCTCACCTCAAGCCACATGGACCCCTTTTGCCCACGTCTCTGTTACCCTCATCATCCTGTGACTAACGATTGGCATAGGCAATCACGCCTGTGACCAGCCCAGTGAATTTAATACGCAACAATTTCAAAGTATGGAAACGACACCTTGTACTAGATTCATCGAGAAACAGCAGATCAAGTGGTTTGGCCATGTCATAAGAATGCAGCAAGATCAAATACTATCACAGGCAATACATCTCAGAAGATTAGATACAGGCCCAGAGGGCGGCCTCGAAAAAAATGGATCAACACCATTAAAGACACTCTATGCCTTCACGGCATGACAATAGCCAGTGGCAACGTGCACTGGATAGCAAATTATTTCTTCCTACTACGCTTAGCGGTAGAAGTAGTTTATGATAATGATGATGATGAGTAAGAGATATATCACTCTTATACAAAAGATGGTATGGTAACTATAACTTATGATTTTTATGCTATCTGGTGTGTTCTTTGGCCTTTTATGCCAATAAATATATGTTAAGTTGTCTATCATAATCCTTTGAAAGCAAATCTGGGGAAAAGTTGGAGACAGGTAGGTATTCAGCATTGTTCACTGTCCAGGGTTCCTTTTAATGACCATCTTAATGGCACCTCGGACTTGACCATAAGTGCTCCGATCTCCTCCTCAGTATGTCTCCAAGTATTTTAGACTATCAACTCCTAACTGGCTCTAGTTGATACGTGGCTCCCGTGGAGTTTTCCTATCTCGCAGCTCCAATTGGTACACCCAGGGTATGCAGTCTATTCAGTGAAAAATGATTTTCCACAGAACTGAAAGTCTCACAGCGGTTAGGCTCTGGTATGGCATGGATGAAATCTCTCCTGTCCATAGATAGCCTATTTCTGACAGTGGCACTGCCAGCCTGAGCATCAGCTTCTCACCGTCTTTTACATCAGCGTCTCTTGTGAAAACAAATTGAAAGTGGTTTTCTGAAACGGCGTGCTGTATCATATGCCGCCACTGCTCCCGTGCGTCGTCTGTAGCATGCTCTTTGGGTCGTTGCGCAAACATATATTGGGGAATTCCCTAGTTTTCAGCCATTCTAGGGTTTTTGTCACAGCATTAACTCCACTGCCAATCTGCTTGTGGGAGAAGCAAAAGCTCCGCTTTCTTCTTTGATGACCCTTTGCTTTGGTTCCTGCCGTGAAAGCCGATGCACTTCGTTTCTGAGGATTCACAGAATACTGTAATCAGCAATACAAGTGGAAGAATAGCATATCTTAAAGAAAAAAAAAAGAAGAATACTGGGTCCACCCAGGAGCCAAGGGAAATAATAAAAGTGTCCGCCTCGACACAGATTCGAACTCAAGACTGGCAAGCGTCTTGCTTTTGCTCTACCGTAGCTCCCAAACCGCCCTCTTCTTCTTCTTAGCGTTCACCGAGGTTACATACTGAAGGTAAGTTCTGGTCATTCGTCCTCTTCTGGACTTTGGTCTTGTTGACGAAGTTGAGTTTGCTGTGCACATCCATTTGACAGATGTGGCTTTTTTGTATAAGACTGTTGCTTCTTCGCCTCTTAGGTAGATGCACTCTGACTTCGAAAGAAACGTCGATCCTCCCTACAATGGCCAGTCCCCCGTTTAGGAACCTGTTTCTATAATGTCCGCGAAGAGGTGTAGATTGGCTTTGACCAGTCTTATGCAGACGGTCTGGCTCGCGCCGATTCACTGCCTGTGTCCTGTCCTACCGTCGAAACAACACAAAGAACTAGAAGAGCAATATCAACATGAAGAGCTCACGAGACATCATCATCGCAGTAACACCACCAACGGATGGCAGAATAAGGAACACATCACCTGATCGGATCCAAGATCACAATGAGGCAGACACGACTTGCCCGGCCAGATCGATACGGAAGACATGAAATACTAGCACCAAACATTAGGCAATGAAATAGCAACACAGTTTGTTGTCATAATTATAACCGATATTGACACAGACGAACTACAAGAATATTTGGTTATGCAGATGACATTGATATCGTTAGAGAAAATAAACTAGAGACTGTAAAAACAATGACTCTCTGAAAAGAAGCAGCTCCCAAAACGGGACTAGTTATCAATCATAATAAGACAGAATACATGATAATAACAAGAAATGAAAGAATATAAACTCTGGCCACATACAAGTCGATAACATAAAATTAAAAGAAAAATGTAAAAAAAAAAAAAAAAAACACACGAACGGTAACATATAAGTACTTGGGTGCAAACTTCAACTGCTCTAGAGAAGAAATACAATCTAGAATACAATTTGGAAATAAAGTATGTTATTCTCTTCATCATTTGCCAAAGTCAGAATCTCTATCTTGAACACCAAGATTAAAAAATATAAAACGTTGATAAGACCAGTCGTTTTATATGGCTCTAAAACTTGGAGCACAACTAAAACAGATGAAGCATTTTTACAAATTTTCGAAAACGGAGAAATTTCGCGATAAATCTTTGGATCCATCAACGAATCAAACAGTGGAGAATGGATAGTACAAGGCAACAACGAAATTAGTAATCTATTTGAATCACCAGTGAGCACTGGCATTACGAGAACTGATAGACTGAAATGGCTACGGCATACTGAAAGAATGACTGATGACAGAGAGGTAAAAACTGTGCACACAAGAGAGCCCATTGGTCGCAGACCACAAGGCAGACCAAGAAGACGATGGAGAGAAAATACCCAGAAGATCTACAAACACTTGTTGACCCCAACTGGAACGAGAAAGCCAACTAGAGAAATGAATGGAGGTGGGTGATATCTACAGCAATTAAGCTCAAGGGCTCGGAATGTTGATGATAAAGAAGACTGACTAGGACGACGCTAGCTCCCAAGAGAGCGACTGAACGTGGGCAATTGAAAGCGAACATGCAAAAAATCAGCCCTCGTCCTGGTCATAAACTCTGTATTCCCTAAACTTAAAAATTACTTTCATTTAATGTAAATTTATATATGTTTCTATTCAGACGTTTCTACTTCGTGTTTGCCTACTTCATGTTCTTCTACAACATATTCCTGGGCATTTTCTCATGTGTTATGAGAATCTTCAAGGCGGTGGCTGTAGGGTTAATCTTCCTGGCCAGGCTGGATAACAGTACACTGCCTAGAAAGTTTGAATTCTTTGATCCAGGTAGGGACTTTCTCTGTTGTTTCTCTCTGTGTGTGTGTGTGTGTGTGTGTGTGTGTGTGTGTGTGTGTGTGTGTGTTTGTGTATGTGTGTGTATATGTATGTGTAAATACGTTTTAACGGTGGATACTTTTTCAAAAACGATTTGGTAATATTTATAACTATATTTCGGGAGCCCTGGTTGGGTATGGTCTAAGTTTTTGTGTATGCTAAAGAAATGATGATTTATTTCATTCCTCTTGGATTTTATCTCTTAGGGCGCGGTCTCTCCCCATAACAAGTCTAACCGCTGGATTATTCCGTCGCATAAAGTACAAACTCCCTAGTTATAAAGAAGACCCTCAAGGATTCACGATAAAAGAAAAATTACATTTCTGACCTCTAAACCTACCCTAGATTTGTATGCGTTAAATTATGTTTTCTTGCATTTGGCCAGGTTTCACAGCATATCAGGGCTATATTCACATGGAGGCAGCCCATACACACCCGGTGGCTATTATATTTATCCGAATTCTGACCGCATTGAGCAGAGAGAGAAACAAGAACACGATTGCAGAAAAGCAGTTTGAAGCGTTTAATTTGGCAGTATCAGTTGATGGAGATGAAGCCATTAAGGAATGTAAGTACGGATTTTTGTTCTACTTATTGTCAATCATCATCAACTCATAATCAGTCATCAGCGTGATCTACTCATTATCGGTAATCAGAATAAGTTAAAAAAAGGGAAGCACTCTTTTCCACACATTCAGACGTTCTGGGCATATAGGGCTAGACCTATACTTTATAAACTAATCGGCACTCCGTAGGTTTTGTGGCAGCACACCGACCACATTTACTTCCAAGGACTTTGCCTGGTACCCATTTAGGGCTGGGTCAACATGGCAGTCAAAGTCATCTTTCGGGAAAAAAAATATTCCGGCTCTGTCAGGGTCTGAACCCACGACCATTGATTTCGCAGGCGAACTTCTAGCCGCTACACCACAACCATATTCATGATAATTTTCTCTGTATCAGTCATCATCATAATTTGCTATTTATCAGTCATCATCATAATTTGCTCATCATCAGTTATTATAATTTGCTCATTATCAGTTATCATTATAATTACCCATTATCGTGTAACCAGAAGTTATTATTTCTTGTTTGTTAGTAGCTAGGGTATTGCTTATTGGTTGAAGGGACAGAAATCAACAGGTCTTAGCAACCGTGACAATCCCTTTCTAGAACCATCACGTGCAGAAAGATATTTGCAAATGAATAATCTTAAATTAGTATTTGGTGTACAATTTGGTAATGTGCCATATCAAATAGAGACAATCTTGACCCCAGAAAGCCAACTGTCAATTTAATTGACGTATTTTGGTGCAGAGTTATCTGATTCAATAGAGATGCAATTAGAAAATCCCACGGTGAAAGCGCATATGGTAAACAAGTTTTAGCATTAAAGAATATTCCCTAAGCAGTCCGTGAGTAGAAAAACACATACCACGCATTTGAGCATCTCAGTATAAATAGTGGGTAGGAAACCACTTGGGTAACCTTCATTCATCGAGACTTGGAATAGGAGGGACTAGTAATATGGACACTTGCAGACAAGAACGTTGAGTCGTCGAGACTTAGAAGCAGAGAAACCAGTCACATGGACCCTCGAAGACAGTCACAAGAAAGAAGACATGAACGATACATCGGGCTACAGAGACAATAGTCAAGATACATGGATTCATGGTTAACAGACTCATTCAGTAGAAATATTACCAAGATATTAGAGTCGACGATCAAACTGTTAACACCAGACAGCCGTAACTCTTTAAGTCCCAGGGGGTTTAGCATCAGAGGCCCAAGGAGGTAAAATCGGCAAATCGCGTTCATTGGGCTTCTGGATAGGAACCTATGAACGTACGGTGCATTCCTTGGGACTCAAATAGTTAAAAGCAAGGTGGCAGTTACAGACACTAGAACGAGTTAATAAAGTAATTTGAGATGAAGAACACAACGCGACATCAAGAGTAAAAATAAAGTTAAAACAGAGGCTATTCAAAATTGCATTGATATTATTTGTGATATTACTGAGGTATCACAATAAAGGCAGTACATAACAGAAAAGTTGTTTCCAAACATGTTATTATTCAAGCATCTGTGACATGAGAAGCATGCATTGGTAAGAGAGATTATCATCATCACCACTATCGACACGACCATCTTTCTCCTCGTCTATGTTCTTCAATTGACTACTTCTGTATCAAACTAAAGACGAACATGGGTGTGACATCAACGCACACAAAGAACAGAGCTGTGCTACAATCGGTATCATCACAATTTGCTCATGATCAGTTTTCATCGTAATTTGCTCTGTATCAGTCATCATCATAATTTGCTCATTATCGGTCATCATCATATTTTACTCATTATCATTCCTCATCACAATTTGCTCTGTATCAGTCATCATCATAATTTGCTCATTATCAGTCATCATCATAATTTGCTCATTATCGGTCATCATCATAATTTGCTCATTATCAATCCTCATTGCAATTTGCTCTGTATCGGTCATCATCTTGATTTGCTCATTATCGGTCATCATCATAATTTGCTCATTATCGGTCATCATCATAATTTGCTCTTTATCATTACAGACCAATGACCGCATCTGCATATACAGCTAGACGCACTTTTCTAAATCAGGTTATATATACAAATCCATCTTGATGCGGACTGAAACTTAAAACCTTCCGTATGAAGACAGTGTAATAAAAGGTTATAACCTTGAAGGGAGTCGCCGTAGTGTAAGGGCAAGAGTCTGGCCTGCGGATCGGAAGTTCGTGGGTTCGGGTCCTTACGGAGCCGGACCTTTGATTATATGCCTCCAAGGCAGAGGTACTCCGACTTCAAAAGAAGCTCCCAGTTAGTCGACTTTTACGACATACTTTTTTTCGTAGATAATGGGTCTTTTTGTTTTCTTACTTTTATTGTTTTCCCTAATGGGATACCGGAACCCACACAGGGAAAAAAAAATCACCATCTCACACTCCACATCTTACTAACAGAAGTATAAGGTAAATCAATCATGTGTTTATCACGCAAGTTTCAAGTTCCCCACATAATTTCTTTTGTGTGTGTGTGTAAATCGCTGTTTCTGTTGCCAGGCAATGTAGATAAACAGTCACACAGACCAGTGAACGTCGCTGCCAGGTTTAACTGGTTCGTCACCTATACCCTGCTTGTATTTGATTAAACTGGAAAAGAGAAAGGGAGAGGGGGGGGGGGGGGGGGCATCAGTGTAACATATTATCACATTACAGATGGACAGTTTCAAAGAGGGCTTGATGCCTTCCTTGTACAATCGTGGCGCCTCGTTCCCCGTAGGGAAAAAGGGGGGGGGGGGGTGCCACCAGGTTGAAAACAACTGTTGTGAGTGGGTTTGTTAGTTACGTATCGTTTACAGGTCGCTGCTGAACCAACCCCAGCATTGTTTGCCTGTTGTGGTTTTTCAAGGCACAGTTTGACGTTCAGTAGTTTGCCATTGCTGCTAAACGGTCAGCTTTCGGTACCACTGTCGAAACCACAGGACGTTCTGCTGCAAAATAACCCACGCCTGGGATCAAACCCTGACCCCGGCTTTACGGCGCGCGTTCGCAACGCCTAAGCCATAGCCGCCGACAATGAAGGGTATGTGATAAATTTTACCCTTTGTTGTGGCGGTTGGAGAAGCGGCTGTCGAACGTTTAGGACGCTGTGCTCTCAAGCGGGAGACCCGGATTCGAATCCTCAGTAAGGCTTGGGATTTTTGTTCTGTCAGGGGCAACATAAAAAACCTCATCTGCATAGTCGTGGCGACAGCACTAGCCATGCAGCCATGCATTCTCAGGCTCAAACCCCTCCCCCCTCCTTCCCCCCCCCCCCAGCTATCACTGCAAAAGTAGTATCATAAGGGCAGTAATTAGCATTTGTTGCAGTTGTTGTTGTAAGTTATGGCCCTTTCAAAACCTACTTTCATTCATCTTGCAGGTAAGAATCTACAGAAAAGGTTTCATACAATCTATCAGGATGGCAAGGCTAGAAGGCATCAGAATCCCAATCAGCGACAAGCCGATCACAGACTTCGATCTGGTGAAAGCTCAGAGAGAAAGAAACAAACTGAGGGAGGAGGAGGCGATGAGAGATTACGCAGCTCCGAACCCACACAATGGTGTGGTTGCAATAAGGTCCATGTTGGGCAGCAAGAAGAAGCTCAAAATCACAAATGAACTTAACAAAAATGGATCAAGAAAATGTAATATGTTCCGAAAATTGAAAAACAGGAGTGGCTGCCAAAATTTAGCAGTGCCTGAGAATGGTTTGCAAGAATTGAATGATTATACATTGCAATTGTATATAAAGCATGATTTTGTTTAGCAGTGTCAATTTTCCAAAGACACAGATTTTCTCTATACACTTCTTCTTTCTTTTTTCTCTATTCCCGGACTGACTGACTTTTCACCCTACCAGCACGTCACACCGAGCGATAAACACCCCATGACACAGCTGCCACTATTCGGATGAGGATCACCCGTGGAGAGGTCCCAGAAATCCTGTTCAACCGTTACGTTATACTGGGGCCCTGGCAACAACCAGGGTAAGGCTTCATAAAAGGGAAAAGTTCGACCCACATGGGTAAAAATGTTAGTAACTTCTCTACTTCTGGAATACCTCGCGGCATTTACATACCTATCTTGTCAAATTTAGAAGTGTCCATAAAAGAGCTAATTGGCGAAATAAACCATTGCGTACTTTATATCTGTCTATGATTTAGCACCAGCAAGGAAATCAAAATTAGAATTTTGAGAGCATGCATCTTCCCTGTAGCAACATAGGGATGTGAGTCGTGGATTATCTCACAGTCTTTAAGAAAGAGAATAGGGTCTTTTGAGCTGAAATGCTATAGAAAGATCCCAAAGTATCTTGGATAAAGAAGAGGAGAAATACAGGAAGGAGGGGCAGGGGCCGACCGAAACGAAGATGGGCACAGGATATAAGTGACTCCTTGAGAATGAAAGTACATGAGGCGGGAGAACTGGCTTGATAGACTGTGATTAGAGCGACATTGTGCAAAAGACCTTCTACGTGATAATGATATACTTAGAAATGTGTCACAATGTAAGAAATGTGTCAGGTACGAAACTAATCAATATGTACTGTATATTATCATGTAGCAGGTCCTTCGCAAAACGTCGCTGTCGTCACAGTCTGCCTGAAAGAAACTCGGTCTCTCATACGAACAACACACATTGTGTTTTTTTTTTCAGTGCTGTTTTGTCTTTCGTACGCAACAGAACGCAGTACCTTCACATTTTGAGGCATCATTTTGTGTCAACGCTACTGCATTTAACACTTTGTGGTGTATACTGAACCTCTTTGACACACTGTTGTGAGTAACGGCACCTCGTTTTCTAGGTTCAGTCCCTGACTGTTATTGTTGTAAGTTACTCTGTTTATCTTACTTATTCAGCAGCTAGTGTAATCTACCCAGCTGGACTGTTTAGAAACCAGTCATGCTTATATGGTGTTTTATAATCTCAGATGTTATTTGCGATGTTCCTCTGATGATCACCAAACCCTCTAAATCGATTTTTTAAAAATTATTCCAGTTTTAACATGTTTGCGTTGCTGTTTCTACACCTCTTTCTGACAGCAATCAAATTTGACGCCTGTCTAGTGTGGCTTCTGGACCTCATTCATTTCGAGAAAACAAAAAGACAAAGAAGCAGCAGCAGAGGAAGAAGAAGAAGAAGAAGAAGAAGAAGAAGAAGAAGAAGAAGAAAGAAGAAGAAGAAGAAGAAGAAGAAGAAGAAGAAGAAGAAGAAGAAGAAGAAGAAGAAGAAGAAGAAGAAGAAGAAGAAGAAGAAGAAGAAGAAGAAGAAGAAAAGAAGAAGAAGAAGAAGAAGAAGAAGAAGAAGAAGACGAGGAAGAAGGCGACGAAAAAGAAGAAGAAGAAGGGGAAGGAGAAGGAGTAAGAGGACGCGGAGGAAAGGAGGAGAAGAAAAGGAGGAGGAGAAAGAAGGGAGTAGGAGAAGGAAAGAATGAGGATAAGAAAAGAAGGAGAAGAAGGAAAGAAGGAGAAGAAGGAAAGAAGGAGAAGGAAAGCAAGGAAAGAAAGAAAAGAAAAAAAAAGGCAAGAAAAGGAAAGAAAGGAAAGGAAAGAAAAAAAGGAAAAGAGAGAAACAAAGGAAAGGAACGAAAGAAAGAAAAGGAACGAAAGAAAGGAAAGGAAAGAAAGAAAGGAAAGGAAAGAAAGAAAAGAAAGAAAAGAAAGGAAAGGAAAGAAAGAAAAGAAGCGTTCTAACTCCAATGGTACTAGTAACTGATTGTAGAACCGCCTCGCCTTTCCCTGGAGTGTTGAGCGTCGGCTAGATCCCCTGGTAACCCCTCACAGCGCCATTCTCTTCAGACCGTAATGACCAACTACTATGCTTCTTTTTTATGTCCTGCTGGGTTGTATGTTTATCCTAATTTTTTTTTTTAATTTTAATTTTATATTAAATGTGGGATTCGCCATTTCTTTGGCAGCTAGACGCCTACCTGCAAATCGGAAGGTCGTGGGTTCGAATCCTGACGAAGCTGGACTTTTTTTTTAAATGACCTAAACTCCTAGGTCGACCCAGCCTTCAGTCAGTACCAGATGCAGTCGTGGGAAGTAAAGGCAGACGGCGTGGTGCTGACCACATCACCCATCGAAAATACAGGTATAGCCCTAAAATACCCTCACGCCTAAAAGTGTGGAAAAGGAACCTTTTATATTAAATGTACGTTTTCAGTATTTCAAGAATTTTGTAATTTGTTTTTCAAACAAATATCTGTAATGTGTTTTACCTAGAATGTTGTTTATTATTATTTGGTTGCCTGGTTATAAGGCCAACTGTAATCTTTTTACTGAACCCGGTGATCAGTAAACAGCATACCAAATGCCTGTTCAATAAAATATCAATATTTTAAAAAGCAAAACTCTAGCTGCATGGTTTTTTTTCAGACAGATAGCCTGACACAGACACATACAGAGAAACATACAGAGTCAGAGACAGAGACACAGACACAGACACAGAGCGTGAACAGCTGTGTTCACCGATGACAATGATTGTTGTTCATGATCTGTTATCAATATTTTACCACCGACATTTCTTACATTGTTGACTTAGTCCTCAAACTGGCCATCTGCCTCCTGTTGTTTAGATTACTGATATTATTTCTGACAGTTTATGAAAACAGCTGACGAGCATATATACAAACACGTAGATGGACGAGACAACCAGTTAGCCAGACAGGCAATACGTGCTCACAGTTTTACTGTTTAATATGGAAAGGGGACGTTTATTTAGGCAGACAGAGATTTTTTGTTTGTTGTTTGTTTTAGTATCCAGAAGCAATGAGTTGTTAACCCTTCGGCTCGGTATTATGAAATACCGTAAATCTGGGAGAAATGTGGCTTTCCTGCCTACCCCCGGGATTGAACCCGGACCACAAGGAGTTCGTCAGCCGGTCTCCGCGCAATCCGGTTTAGCCAACTACGCTAGAGAGCCGGGCAAAGCAGACAGACAGATAAACCAGTAGGCCAAACTATAAAACGAAGTTTAAAGTAGAGGTTGGGGGAGGGGGAGGGGGCAACTGAGATGTAATTCTTCAGAATGTTGAAAAGTTTGCACTGCCAGAATAACAAAATTAAATGCCTGGAAATGGGTAATAAAAGTAAAAAATTATATACAACAATGAGGAAGAGACAAAGTTCAATGGACATGTAATGAGAAAAGGAGCAATGGAAAAATATCGTGACGACTGAAAAGATCAGTGGTAGAAGAGTGAGAGACAGATCAAGAGAAATGATTGTGGATGACTTAAGATGGTCACTGAGAGGAATATCATCAGTGGAATTGATCAAGAACATCAAAAACTGAGATCTGGGGCAACGCATGAACGCCTACGCCAGTTGACAAGGCACTTGATGATGATGATGATGATCAGATAAAATAAGTGACGATGATATAGACAGACAGAACGAGCTAGCATATGAACTTTATTTTCAAAGGGTTGATATTTCCATATTCGTGCCAACTTTGCGCTATTCGTGCCAGGCATGGCCAGTCTTAGAAAAACATAAGCGCAAAAATTATATTTGGGATCTTCTTCTTCTTCTTCTTCTTTTTTCAACTTTTGTCGTACTGATTATGCCTTACGGGAAAGAGTTATATGTAGTTTCCTGTCTTTTGCTAGTTGTGTAGCTTGTGTTAATTTCATACTACATTTCTGTAGTGTCTCTTTTCCTCCCTCCACCCATCTCTTTCTAGGTTGACGAACTTCTTGTGGTTGAGGTTCACGCCCGGGGGTAGGCAGAAAAGCCAAATTTCTCCCACATTTACGATATCTATTACGGAATCAAGGCCGAAGAGTTGCGATATTCATAGTACCGAGCCAAAGAGTTTACAACGTATGGTTACTGGATACTTGAAAAAAAAATCAGAGACAAAAAATAACACCAACATCTGAAATTTCCATAGACCGAAAAAGTGCTTCAATTAATATACTAATTCAAATATATGGGGACAACCTGCAAACACTTGGCGTGACCAACTGGAAAGAGAAGGCCAACCAGAGAGATGAATGGAGGCGGGTGATATCTGCAGCAATGAACCTCAAAGGCTTGGAATGCGTAAGAAGAAGAACAAGAAGATATAGGGACAAACATGCCAAACAGAAGCCGCATTACACGTCGAGGAAATAATTGAAGCACTCAAAACAGTATGATGAATAATAAGTAATAAGTAATGTACTGTTTGGCACTCGTAAAATAAAGACGGAATTATAAAGGAAGCACACTAGACAACATACAAATGTTAGTTATGTTATCACAGTCGACGTCTTTGCACATTTTGCATGCCCATGCGTCCATGATGCTGGTGCCTTGTCGTGGCTGGATGGCTTGAGTACCCTAATGACTCTCAGAGTTATGCCGTCAGGGGACTTGTTCCCCTGGCAGGTTTAACCATGCCGAACAGATCTTGAGAAGAAGAGTCAGACCAAACTAGCGCCCTGGTCCTCCATGTTGGGGGTAGGGCAAAGGGTTGACAAACAATTATAGCAAAAAAAAAAAAAAAAATACTTTGTTACGGAAACAGGAACAAGTGAAATCTGTGAACCTGTGGAAAGAAGTGAAGCTTGCCAGATATTTTGTGAAATGACGGCTCGGGATCAAAGCTGAAAGGAAGCCAACAGCTTGACAGTGAATAAGAATATTTTGGCCAAACAAGTTCGCAAATGAAAAACTGAGGATAAAAAACAGAATGGACATCACTGGCAAATGTTAATCAAGTAAGACGATGAAGATGGCTTGGACATGTTTGCAGAATGCCTTGTGACACCCTGGCAAA